TTAATGGGGAATAGTAATACAGCGCCATCTAGAATATCTTCACTCAACTGCAGTTGTCTGTACTTCCATTAGACAGCGCCACCTATTATACTATTCGAGAGATACTGCCTTTCTTTTTTGTCGCTCGCTTCTTCTGCCAGTTACGCCTCTCGCGGGACAAGGTTGCACTAAGAGGTGCTTTGCTCCTAAAATGTTGTTAACAATTTAGAGTGCTTGGTATTCGACTATGGAAGAGCATAAAGCCGTCCTTGGGCTTCACACTGTTACGACTCGCACCACCGCCGACACTGTTGCGTAGTGTGCCGAGGTCATGGGCCGCCAAGGTTGTTAAATAGCGCGTATCTCAGCTTGTGGTTGCTTCTGCGCAGAGCTGATAGACGTGCAGACACGACGACGGTGAGTTAAGGCAAGAATTAAGTACAGCATAGAATAGAGGCGTTGTATACTCGGTACTGGGATGACAGCTTAGGACTCGATGAGCCGAGTTGTCTTTGCACACTCTAACGCTGCCGTCTTCTCTCTGACGGATAGGTCAGCTGCTTGGCGACGCACCGCTTGGCTTTTTTATAGGTCACGGGTGATTCTTTACGTCATCAAAGTCCAATCAGAAGCGCCTCTGGCCGTGGTGTCAGAATCCTCCAGTCTGGGACCGCCGCTGGGTGCACCCATAGACGAGTGATGTTGCCACGCATTGCGTAAGACTCGCCAGACTTGATGGCGCCGATTGCATCATCAGGCTGCTATCAGGCCCGTTGGTTTAGGGAGCTCGCCGTGCGTTGCGTAAGACAAACCAGTGCCGCCAGGTTAGATGACGTCGTTGAGGTGATGGCTTCCAGGCGGGCTCGCTCACTGGCCTTGATACAGATTGCCTTAGCAGAGGTAAGGGCGTTCTGTCAGGACTCCCAGGCGTAACAACACATGATAAGGCCATGTCGACAAATATTCAAGAACCAAGGAGCGAACGCCGAATTTCCACTGCGGTCGTGCAACAGTCATATACAATGCATTAACTATCGTGTGTTCAGAAAAAGTTGTTATAGATTTCAAGTAAGAAGTACGGCACGATGGGAGAGCATAGAGCCGTCCTGTAGGCCTATTCCATTGTACATTCTCTCACCAACTATGCAGCGTTCTCAATCAGAAATTACAAAGGTTTCTTGTAACAAGAAGCCTGCGTGCAAGTTCTCGTTATATGGGTGGTTCTGATAGTATACCTACATATTACTTCGGTCATACTTTGGTAAAACATGTCAATGAAAAGTACGTTTAGCTCACTTTATATCCTTTAGGCTACCAGCTTTTGAATTTGCATAATTTACCGAATGGTGTCGCGGAGCCTACGAAAACTTTCATGTTGCCACACAGGCAACATATTCGCGTGAAAAAAAAAGCTTGCACAGCAACACGCAGTGTTTTTAACGTCTAGAACGCCACTGGCGCAGCGTTTATGGGTTGCTTCGATGGCAGCGTTCCTTTCTACGAAGAACCGGCATACAGGCGCGCTACCATGCGCGCTACCCATTCTAGCTAGGCAACGACGTGCTGCGGTGACAATGGGCATGCAGTTTGCCGTAGCATAGTCATTCATAGCACTGTGCGGGAGTTTCGTGACCAGTAGTAAAGTATCGATAGACTCTGGCTCTACAGTGCGCACGTGCATAAAGCAAAGCAGTTGGTATGGCTTAAAGGCACAGCTTCGAAATACACAGGGTGTTTCAAGAATGTGTCCAATATTAGGAACGAAGCTCCTTATAGCGACACCCGTTCGTCCCCCGTAGTATGTAACAAGTATAACGTTTTGACCTCCAAGGTGGTGCCGGTGAGAAACTTCTTCTGTGCGTTGTTGAAAAATAAAAAATAATGCTCAATGTACATGTCAATGGCTGCTAATGGGGAATGAGAGACAGGAGCATTCGGCTTTTAGTTAATGCGCAGGCTGCGATCACCATTAGCAGCCATTGGCATGTACATTGAGCACTATCTGACAAGAAAGGGTTGCTACGTTATACCCGCTGGCTGTAACCTCCTTAGCTTTAGAAAGGTTTAGCGAGCGTTGAGCCGCAGTGCCATGAATACAATGAACATGTATATACCATGAATGAACTCGAGGTTGCTTAAAGTGGGAAATAGATACGAAGCGCAAGCCGTAAAAAAGTTAAAGCAGAATTCTCTGCCTCTCTTTTCCCTTTAGCAGCCATTGGTATGTACATTGAGCACTATCTGACTGAAAAAGTTTGCTACGTCATACTCGCTGGGCGTAACCTCCTTGGTTTTCGAAAGGTTTAGCGAGCGTTCGGCCGAAGTGCCATGAATACAATGAACTAGTATATACCATGAACTCGAGGTGGTTAAAGTTGGGAAGTGGACCCGAAGCGCAAGCCGTAAGAAAGCGTGCGTGTGGCACCTCTCGTTTAGTCCTTGGAATGTCCGCTGAATGGCGGTGCTTCTATATGGGGAATATATGATGAAAAGATGCGAGATGGTGGTACTTGAGGTGTTGAATAGATGGACGAACGGACACATAGACAGACACATGGATGAACGCATGAACGGACGCAGGGGTGGCTGCATAGACGAACGCAGGGGCGGCTGCACGAACAGACGCACGCACGGATGGGCTGATGGACGCATGGACGGTCACACTGACGGACGCATGGACGGACGGAAGCAAGAACGAATGGACAAACAAATTCTTCGCCCCACTCTCCATCATTCACTCCGTGGATATACTGCCATTTTTTTTAAATCACAGAAAGGAGTTATCAGCGTGCCACTTGCAGCGTTGCCTGTCCTGTAGTAGAAGGCGTCCTCAGATGCATACAAACAATAATTACGGCTGCAATTATAGAAATAACACAATTAATTTCAATTTTAACCAGTGTTGATAGCCGGTCGAGTTAAGAGAACGAATTCAAGCCTTTTCTGCGAATAGTCCATAGCCACCTTGAAATTTTCGAAAAGCGACCACTGGTAATCACTGTGGAGCGATGCAATGAGCCTAATTTAGCTGGAGAAATGAAAACCGACACACCGAACAGCGCATCTGCCACTCATCTCGACAATGCCCTCAATGACCTTATTGTTTCCCTCACCGTTATCAACCATCATTTTAGACACTTTGCTTCTTGGCCGGTTATCAACGCTCGCTTATTCTTCTCCACCTATGCAAGGGGAACAGTGTCGTCGTTGAGGGCGTTGTCAAAGGGAATGGTGAATGCGCAGTTTGGTGCTTCAGTTTCGGTTTCGCCAGCTAAATTAACCAGAACAAATCACTCTGAAGCGATTACCTGCAGTGCTGCCCATCCAAACTTTCAAAGCGGCTGTTGACTATTCGCAGGAAGTACATTAATTCACCGATTGGACTCGATCGGCTATTTGCACTGGTTCAAAATGTAATTGATTTAATTTTGGTAATCGCTGCCGTAATTTATGTTTGTACACATCTGAAGATGCCTTCTGCCACAGGAAGACAACGCCGCAAATAGCACGCAGATACCTCTTTTCTGTAATTTTAAAGCATATTGGAAACATTTCTCTAAACACTCTGTATATTGAGAAGCTGTGCAGAAAAAAATCGATATCTTGAAATGATGCGGCAGAGTGCGTTTTGCGGTGGCTGTGCATATCTTGAGTGCGTTTCGTGGGCGGTTCAAACAGGTAATTGTTTTTTTCTTTTAATGTGTGAAGCGTGTTTGTGTACCTTTTTGAGCAGTGTGTTGTTCTTTAGTTAGATGCGAGATTCTTTGTCGAGACAATGAACAGGTAATGACTCCAGCCGGATGAAGTGTCGGTGAACGGCGTACTGAAATCCAAGTGGAAATCAAGTCACTCGTATGCATTATCGATCATTGCAAAACACACGTTTTGTACAATACGTACCTCAGAGGCAATAGTATGAGTAATTATTGCCATCAAGTCGTAGGAGTCAATACAACTCAAAGAAAGATTATTGATGTATATTTTCGAGAAACTGATTGCACACTTTGCCCCGTGAAAAGAGAGTCCAACGAAAGCTGTTTGTCGCTTAGTCATACGCCTACAATCGTAACATCAGTAGGAAACTTTCGGTGATAGTTTGAGTTCAAATAAAAAAGGTGAAACTGAAGTCCTACGTCTCAAGTATTGTCAGTTTATCCTGGTACATTAGGCAATAAAAGATTAATAGGGCACTGAGCATATCAGATACTCACTGTCAAAATCTCGACCCGAGAAATTACAGATGGACGAATAGAAACTGACTAAAGATATGCTGATGCGACCAAAACCTTCCGATAAACATTCGTATGTACTTACGATTATTGTCCCACACAAGGTCTTTGATTGGAACGCAATAATATTACATCATATTTTGAATGAGTATCATCGAAATTCTAATTTTCGCGAGCACCATAGATGGCTCCTGCGAACAGAGCACACCTCGTCGTTACCCAATGTTTTCATTGCGGTGGCTAGATAGGCAAGTGGGGGCATAGTTCTTGCTAAGGGACTGCCAGCAGCACGAAAAGGTAGCAGGAGAAGCCGAGATAAGAAAAAAAAAGAGACAGGAACAGGAAGGATGTTTCGCTTGGACTACCAGCATCGTTCCTATTCCTCGCCATCTCTTTTTCTTGTTCGAGCAATTACTATGAAACAATTTTTCCCTTAACTTCAAGGCACTACTTTTTCAAGACTATGATAGTTTTAACTTTTTGTTTTAAAATTCTTGGCTTTTTGCCATGACAAAAATTGCAGTATACTGGATTTTTTTTCCTTGTCTCGGTTTATTCTGCTCCATGTTTTCATTGCTGCCTCTCGTTTTATGCCTCACCACATTTCAAAATGTTAACCGCTGAACGAGTTCCACCTCAGGATACTGCGGAAGTAAACTTAACGGCATCGGGCCGATCACTACCTTTACAATTATATAACTAATATTCCCGTCTCAATCTTACAAACTTAATGAAAAAAAAGCATGCTAAGATGCTTTTTCTTCTACGACCAAAGCGAAAAACGCGCTTCTATCAATGATCTCTTTCACTCACCGGCGGCAAAGGCATATCGTAGAATTCCTCGACAATCTCTGCCCTCGTGTGCTGCCGCCTTCCCAGGGTGCCTTCGGTTACGTGCTTGCCGCAACCGTCCCGACGAAGTGCCGTACGGGCACGGGGCATACAACTGCTCCTGCTGCAACTGCTGTTGCTGTGCTGCTGATGGGGCAGTTCGCCGTTGCGCGCTGGTGTTGGTAGCGGCTCCTTTTGCTTGTCCCAGGTGGCCAGCGCGACCTCCTCGCATTTTGAAGCGGGTTTCAAGCGCGGTTCGGCTGCATAAAAAACAGTCGCTTAGTGACGCTAGCTAGACTAGACCATGTGATCTAACCTTAATCAAAATTCTATTACAACCGCAACATTAAGGTGTTGGAACCATAATTACGAGTTTATATTGACGCACTAACTATATTCGCGTTCTCTCTACATTGCAACGGTATGACTATTTATTAGCTAGCAACAAGAGGGAGAGATAAGCTACAAATAAAAAGCATGTGTATCAAGTATTATAAATCAAACAGTGTAGGCATAGGACCAAGACACAGTAGCCTCCTGGCCGTATACGAGCGCTATTTGTTTCATAATGAGCACTAACATTGAATATACAAGTCCCCACTACATTCGGCTGAGATTCATAAAAAAATCTGTCACATAGCTATTGGCGCCGAAAAAAAAGCCCCGTAAAGGCTTCACCAGACTCGCGTCGCAGCGTAAAGCAACGTCCACGCCGCAGTGTCCGTACAGAAGATCCGCGCAGCAGCGTACAGTAATGTAATTCCACACAGGCACAAGCACATTCAGGCTCTTTTCGGTAACAAAGCCACGAGTACCACAACAGAATAATAAATATAATAACTATAAGGGTAAATACTTAGGTGCATACATGCACACACACACACACACACACACACACACACACACACACACACACACACACACACACACACACACACACACACACACACACTCACTCACTCACATACATACATACATACATACATACATACATACATACATACATACATACATACATACATACATACATACATACATACATACACAGAAATATCTGTGTCGCAAGCTTTTTAGGCTGGCAGCATGCCGAGACAGTGGAATGCGATCTTCGGAAAACACACCGTATATTTCTGAGGCGGCTGCATCGGTGCGCTCTCTTCTTCTCCTTCTTCCCAGCTCCACGCAGGCGGCTACAATGATGACGATCAGCACAACCACCGAACACACGATGGAAGTTACCACGGCCAGTTTGCGGTGCATCTCTTGCTGAGACGCCGCACTTGTCGAAGTCTCAGACACACCTGCATCCAAATCAGGGCCACAAGTGATTTGCAGACCGCGTACTCCAAACAGCAACGGGCACAATTTAAGCAAAATTGTCGACAATGTTTTGTTTTGTCGTCAAATTTATCGCCATTTCTTCGGAGCTAATTCGATCTGTCGATATGGTTGATTGGGCGAGTTGGTGATACATGCCTGTTTCGCAATAAGAGCGCACTACTTAGACACGGACAGAAGGACAGGGACAAGCGCTCATTCGATCCTTGCAACGTTGTGCCCCGACTCTCTTGACGCCAAAAATGGCATACAAGTATGAGCGTAACGTATCCTTCTCAGAAGAACAGTAAAGACTAAAAGAAATATTCAGGACGTGTGGGTGAGATTGATGGCCGCAGACATATGAAGACCGCCTCAAACAATGTAAAAAGGCTTCACTCCATTAGCGAATACATTTTCTTGTTTGTTTTTATTTTCGAAATACGTTTATTTATTTTCATAAACAATGACTGAGCGAGGGACAGTACATAGTGGAACATGTTGACTTAGAGATGTAATGCAGTATAAATAATGAGTATTAACGCGATAGCGTGAAAGAGCTTGTTTCACTGAAATTCCGGTGTCGGCGTCGTAGGTTGTGAGCGGAGAATCATCATCTTGTGCGTGAACAAAAAAAATAGAGAAAGATGCAAATAAAATTAAGAACACCTCGGTCCGAGTGGGGATTGGTCCTAGGTTGTTTGCGTGGCAAGCCGGTGCTCTACCAGACAGCCACTCATCTGCTTGTGAATACAGCGAAAATAACTTCCTCTGCTTGGAAACGCAGTGAAAGTAACTTTGGCTTTACAAACACACGCATCCTGTATACATGCTTCACAATGCGACAATAAATATTGAAGTAATAATGCGTGGTGCAAGCATTCATGGCAATCGGGCGTCAGAACAGGTGATTATTGTAATGACTTCGTGGCTTCAAGCCGGTCACCCACTATGCAAGGCGCACACGTTGCTGCGCTTATTCGCTTAAGGACACGTAGTGGATGCATAACGAGTTCGAAAAGCTTTCATGCACTAAGTCTTGGAAGTACGCACCAGGGACTGGATATCGCTGTCACGTTCAACATTTAAAGGCGAAGTTTAAAGGTTACAATATCTCGTTCAAGAACGTCCAGGAAAATGGGTCATATTCTGCGATTCGAAGGCAGCGCTTCAGAGTTTGCAGTCTGCCATGCGTAGGAGGAGTCATGACCAATTGGTACAAGAAATAAGACATTGCCATCATGAAGCTCTAGCAAGAGGGCATGATATTATATATCAATGGCTGCCTGGACATATTACCGGAAATCAATTAGCCGATGATGCTGCCCGCTCAACCCATGAAGAAACCCGTGCAGTCCCGATTTCTCTATCAAGGAATGATGCAGCAAGACAACTTTACCTGCTGGCTCGAGATCTCACACGCACGTTCTGGTCGTCTACCAGCTTCCAAAGGTGTCAATTTTATGAACTGGATCCTTCACTCAAGCTAAAGCTGCCATCACAACTTTCCCGCTCCGATGCGACACTGTTATGCCGCCTTTGGTTGGGTGTTGCATTTACAAAGGTGTACTCCTTTCGCATTGGTATGGCAGACACTCCTACATGCGACTAAAGGTTCCATAATTTTTTTTCTAGAGCTCTAAGATGTTCAATATCTCATAATCTAGTGCATCAAAAAGTGCCGTCAAGCTTGAAGCCGCACACGCCAGCTTGAGACATTCAAGGCGTTCATGTGGTCTATCTCTACAAACTCATGGATCTTCTACTCTGGTGCTATCTTAAAGCACAAGTAACCGTTGAAAATATTTTTCGTTTTTACAACACAGTAATCGAGTTCACTTATATCATTTAAAAAAGCTACCAGTTGGCATGATTATAAAAATAATATTTATTATTATTATTATTATTATTATTATATTATTATTATTATTATTATTATTATAATTATTAGCACCCATATAGCCACATCCAATGTTTTGGAAAGGGGAAAATGCTCTTGCCTCGCCATAACACTCTCGGCGTCTACTACACGGGTGCTTAACGAAATTTCAAAATTCTGTGGTTTTAGTTGTTTAGCGAAATGCATTTCGATGATTGATTGACGCGCTACAATTAACGCACCTTTGCTGGCGGCTGGTGCCACGTGCATGTCGTACAGGCGCTCGGTGTAGCCCGCTGAGTTGGCCGCACCGAGGAGGAGTTTGTAGCGCCGTCCTCTCTCGAGGTTGTTCAGCGCCACGACGTGACCTTTGCTGCCCTCCTTGGACACGACGGTCCACTCGGCGTCGTCCAGAGCGCGGTACTTGACCACGTAGTGGCCGATCGGGCAGCCTCCGTCCCCGAAGGCTTCCAGGTCTAGAGGCACGTTCTCGCTATCCACCAGCAGCGGCTGTTGGTGTGCGGGTGCCACTGGTACTGTGCAGCGCGTATGAACATCGTTACATCGCCCGCTATTATCCATTTACAATGCTGAGTCAGTTAACGTTCTGTAAGCAAACGACTTCTTCTGAATCGCTCCAGGCTAAATGGATGAGATATCATAAGTTTGTGATGCTCAGCGCCAGCTGTTCGTTTCTAGCCAAACTACATTTCCTGCAGTTTATGTATACTTTTTGAATATGGCTCAGAAAAAGTGTTTTGCCTAGGTGAAGGTAGCGTGCTTCATTTAGAAAACCTTTTTTAAGTTTGTAAGTCTATTTTACTGTAACGTATGGACGAGGTGACTTAATACAGCGTTGTGAGACAGTCACTTCAAAAACGCCCTTTTTTATAAACACTATCACGCACAGCAGAGCGGAAAATCACCGTGCCCCATTTTCAGGAGATCGTGATACAGCCGCTGAAGTGGCTAAACCTGCACAACATTATTTCGTACTAGCCCCATAACACGGCCGTGCCCCCCACTCCTCCTCTATTCTGTTGTTCGTTGCACGAGTTTCTTTAGTTCTTTTAAAGTCATGCATGATGTAGGCTGGCGTACAATTGAGTGAAGCTCAAGCCACTGTTTCTATAACGCCATTGTCGTAGAAAAAGTGCTGCTTGACATTTAAAAACAGGCAGCGTATTTATATGAATCATGACCAGTGGGAGTCAAGCAATAGTTATGAGTGATGAGGAGCCGAACACTTACCGGAGCCTTTAGTGCTGGCTGTGATTATGGACGTCATTCGAGGTCTACTCTCACCAAGTGCTTCGACGTAGATTTCATAACGCGTCCCACAGCGCAGGTTGCTGAAAGTGTAGCCATTCGTTGTGCCTGCCACCTTGTATACTTCCCAGTCACTTATATTCGGTCGAATAAAGAGCTTGTAGCCTGCGTGTGGACATATTCAAAGGACTAGAAGTTAACGCCTATTGATGGTAACTTACCAGTCACTTGAATAAAAAAGTCGATGAAACAGCAAGTACCGCACAGTCAGTGAAGGAAATTAGTGTTAGAGTGGCATGTCGCTACGTGAACGCTGGCGAAGACCGAAGCGAATAGATTTTTTTTCTTGTACATTACCCGTATGATTTATATTTAGGTAAAAAAGCAGGCTTTGTCGTCCTCAATATTTCAACCATCGGCCTCTGAATGACACATTGGCTGCAAATGGGCAATAACCAAGGAATTTGCTCAAACAATATCCCAGGAAAATAGCCGCTCCGCAGCCGAGGTCAACTTGAACAAATGAGGTGGCTTCGGCGGATACACGAAGCCATTGGATATCCAGAATGATGGGACCTGGCAGTTGCTGGAAACGTTGAATCTTGCATTGACAGACGCGGGAAACATTTGTTCTAGCATGGAAACCACGCATCTTTCACGGCAAGAATGTCTCCCGGATGCCACACATGCTTACACACAAGGCAACGAGCACCAGTTCACACCCGTCGCTGTAACGCGACACCATAGTGCAGATGCCTTGTCAGTCTCAGCACTTCCACTCCCGAGTAGGAGGATGAAGAAACTCGTAGGGTGAAGTTCACTGCTAACCTCCTCTAGCAGTTGCGACGGCACCTACCCGCTTGCTCGTCGCCCCAATTCACCGAGGCAAACGTCGTTGTAATTTACACTAATAGCAGTTCTGACCAAAATACTGTCCCTTGGTCCCTTGACCACAGCATTGTGAAAGAAAATGTCCGTGGTCATAGAGTGAGATGTACTCGTCCTCGCGTATGTTTTCCGATACCGTGTTCTTAATTTAATTATTGCACGTATGTCTAGTAATCCTCCCTGCCTTTTTTGTATTCTTCCTCTCTCTAGTACGCGTATATTTTCTCAGTTTAACCGCATTGCTGCTCTTGGCTCGTATGTGCCTCATCTGCGACATTCCATCACTCATTTCATATTCCTTCTCCGTCCTTGATTCGCCTGTAGGTGGCGTTGCTTTGCGCGGACATATTTTACGACACCTACTGCAGAGACGGGGTAGGCATGCTTAGATGCTAAATAAATTCTTACCGTGCCGTGGTCCGATGACGTCATGCCAAATGATGCGTAGTTCTGTTGATGACGTGTAGTTGACGGTCACGCGAAAAAGTGAAGCAATGTCTAGACAAGTAAAAAGAAAGAGCTGTATAAACAAGTGTGCCGGTAAAACATATACTTGAGCATATCAAACGGCATGAGTGGGTACACGACTGCAATGCATAAGGCCCTGTAAACAACTAATCTCCGAATACAAAAGATAGAAAACAGGAAATAAACATTATCTCAAAACTTTGGAGAAATAACTCAGCATTAGAAATATTCGTTCATGCAATACGGTGTTCTTTCCACTTCTAGTTAGTGTAAACTAGCCAGTAGCATGAACTGCGGAAACGTGAATATGACAGAGGCAATTATAAAGGTTCTTTCTTGTAATCTACGTAACGATGTAGTGTGAGTCTGACCTATAAGATGCAAACAATACTGTTAACCAAGTCAGCATCTCTTGCTTTATTTTTATAGTATAGTTACAACAGAATACCATAGATTAAACCACCTAAATGACTGGTGGTATACTCAATCTTCAGAGGATAAAAAAATATTGGAGGGAAACAGCGCTAACGACGAAGCACCAGGCAAAGAAGGACACATGCAAAAGCACTGACTTACAACAAATGTTTATTCATCTAACCATGCAATTATATACCTGCGCAGTTAAAACGAGAAGAATCAATAAAGACAGTCAAATAAATGAAATATGAGCATCATCTTAAAAAACATGCTCATTGCTCGTGCAGACAACTTGATAAAAGCACAATATCATTTTCTGACAGAGAAACTGCCATTAAAAATGACTCTTGTACCAATGAACAATTACCTGATGTTGGAGTTTCTCCCACAGTCTCGTCAGACGTTGGCCCTGGTCCCTTTCCGTTGTACGCCTGAACGACTACCGTGTACTTCGTACCAGGACGTAGATCCTTGATGTCGCATTCTTGGGTCTTGCCTGGGCGAGACTCAACTGTCTTGTAGACAAAAGATTCAGCGCGACCATCGGCTTCTGCTTTGTATCCAACATAGTAGCCAGCAATTTTGCTGTCACCTGGCAGCATCTGCGATTGGACATCAAACTAGGTTTCAGGTGGCGTACTTTTCAGGCAAAAATAAAATTTCCAGTGGTAAGAGGTACCTAAAATTCAGCGGTTTATAGCCTATTCGGCCCAAAGAAGCTTCTCTTGTCTTTATGTCGGACGGCGGCAGTTTGGCTTGAACAAATGTTTTAGAGATGGCTCACGTTAGTGAAGGCTAGAACAGACCATATGAACACTGTGTAGAGGTGGTAGTGGATATTCCAACATAAGTCTGTAATCTATGAACCTACATGTAGCCATCTCATTTAGCTACACAATGAGCCACGAACTACTGCATATTTTATACATGCCAGGTTAACAGGGGTGTTGAGGCAATGCTGTCGTGCATGAAAAAGCGAACTGAAAAAATGCTTTATAGAGACTGCCTTAGTGCACAACAGACGTGTTTGCCATTGTAGTACTACTTGAACTGTACATTTAAGGAAGGAAAATAGAGGGAAAAGAAAGGCAAGGAGGTTAACTAGCTTATAGGCAGCCGGTTTGCTACCCTGCGCATGGGGAGGGATGGGGGAGATGAGAGAGCAGAGAGAGAAGATAGAAACAGCACATTTGGCAGCACATGCGCGCACACTCAGTCATAGTCCAGTCTTGTCTTTCGCGGTGTGTGACATTGCTGTTACAGTCGCTTGTTCAAGTCGGTGTCGCGTAGGAATTTCAACAGAGCTTTCGTCGCCTTCTGTTGCAGTGTCTTCTCTCGGGCACTTGACAGAATAGTGTCAACAGACATTTGGCTGTTGTCGATGCGCGCAAAAGCAGACGCCAGTGACTGTCTCTGGATTTGATACAATGGACAGTCACACAGGATGTGGTGTAGCATCTCTTCGCAATGACAGGCATCGCAGAGAGCGTTGTCGGCCATTCCTATGACAAAGGAGTAAGATTTTGTAAATGCCACTCCTAGCCATACGCGATGAAGTAGGGTGGCTTCTCTTCGGTCGAGTCCAGTGGGCATGCGGAGATCTATTAAATAGGACAGGTGGTGTTGACGATACGTATCGATGCTTGGTGGGCACCATAGTGAAAACGTGACTTCACGCGCAAGTCGTCGAAGATTACTGGCAGCATCAGTCCTCGAAAGTGGTATGGCTTCTGGTCGTGTTCCTTCAAGGGCTGCCCGCGCGGCAGTATCGGCATGTTCGTTTCCTATGATGCCGCAATGACTTGGCAGCCATTGAAGCGTCACATGATGCCCTTTCTCGAGTAAAGTGTGGAGAAGGCATCGAATTTCGAAAACAAGCTGTTCGTACGGGCCGCGACGCAGTGCTGAGAGCACAGATTGTAGGGCAGCCCTTGAGTCGCTGAAAATCGACCATTGTTGCGGTGGTTCCCGATTCACCACACAAAGTGCAGCGCGCAAAGCAGCTAGTTCCGCTGCTGTAGATGCCGTGGAGTGGTCAGTCCTAAAGCTGATGGTAACACCTCTTGCTGGGATAACTACTGCCCCTGACGAACACTGGTGGTTCGTGGAACCATCGGTGTATACATGTATGCTGTCTGAATATTTCTCGTGCAAAAGAAGAAGAGACAGTTGTTTCAGCACGGGTGACGAAAACTCAGATTTCCTCCGGATCCCTGGTACACTAAGATGCACTGTGGGTCGAATAAGACACCAAGGTGGTATGGATGGTTTAGGTGCATGAGTGAAGCCCGAGAGAAGTTTATCGTTGTATTTCACGATAATTTTTGCGAACGATGCTTGGCGCCTCTCTGAAGGCAACAGTGCAAGGTGATGGTCGGGGGCACGTGCGAAGTGTCGGATGTGCGTTCTCAGGACTTCTACAACAATGTGAGTTTGTATCGGATAGTCACCAGCAATTGCAATTGTTGCTTCTGTTGACGTACATCTGGGCAGACCGAGGCACACTCTCAGCGCTTGGGCTTGTACTGCCTGTAAAACACGAACATTGGTCTTGCAGGTATTGCTAAGCACAGGCAAGCTATATCTGAGGAAACCGAGAAACAGGGCCCTGTAGAGCTCCATCATTGCGTCTACTGACATCCCCCACGTCTTTCCTGCCAGGAACTTGAACAGTTGAGAAACAGCGGTCAGGCGCTTCTTCATATAGGTCACATGCAGACTCCAACAGAGGTCCCTATCAATAATGATGCCCAGAAACCGGTGGGTTTTGGCGTAAGAAATCGGTCGCCCGCAGATTGAGATGACATAAGGGGTCATTGCTTTGCGAGTGAAAGCCACCAGCGCGCATTTTTCTGGTGATATGCTGAGACCTTGTTTGAACAAGTAGTTGGCAATCATAGTTGCTGCTTTTTGAAGCCGGGAACGTATCTGAGGACGTGTGACTGCCGATGTCCAGACACAGATGTCGTCTGCGTATATTGATATTTTAATGGTGCTTGGCAAGTATTCAGCAAGGCCAATTAGTGCAAGATTGAATAGCGCCGTGCTGAGAACTCCGCCTTGAGGAACACCCCTGGAAGTATAGCGTCGCGTAGTTGGGCCATCTTCTGTTAACACAAAGAATGATCTTGCAGCCAGGTAACTCGAAATCCACCGAAAGACTCTACCACCAAGGCCAACCACCGCAAGGGCACACAGAATGGCTTCGTGTAGTACATTATCATAAGCGCCTTTCACATCTAGAAACAAAGCTGCAGATAGTCGCTTACGGGATCTTTCGTGCTGAACGTACGAAACTAGATCAACGACATTGTCAATAGAAGAGCGGTCGCGTCGGAAACCAGCCATTGAATTCGGATAAATCTTGTAGTGTTCAAGATACCACTCCAGGCGGCCTAGTATCATCCGTTCGATTATCTTCCCTACGCAGCTGGCCAGTGCTATTGGGCGGTATGAGGTTAGTTCGAGTGGGGATTTGCCCTGCTTCAAGATGGGTAACAAGCGGCTTACTTTCCAGTCATCAGGAACATTGCCATCCTGCCACGAGATGTTGTAGAGGCTCAACAGTTCTCTCCTTGCACGTTCCCCAAGGTTGCACAAGGCTCGGTACGGAATACCATCTGGGCCTGGAGAAGTTGAACGCCTGCAGAAAGCTAGTGCCGCCTCGAGCTCCTCCATTGTAAAAAGGAGGTCCATGTGGTAGTCACGGGAATGGGGGACGTCACCTCTCACTGGAGAATCTGGACGAGTGGCTTGGTTGGCGATCTGCGCACAGAAATCTTCTGCGACATCGATGTCTGGCCTCCTTTGAAATAGCGCGAGCGCTTTGAATGGAAAGCGCTGTTCCGTAGGGTGACGCAGACCTTGCACCGTTTTCCAAATGTGTGAGAGTGGCTTGCGAGGGTCTAGTGACTGGCAAAACGTTGTCCATCGTTCCGACGCTAATCTATCCATGCGACGCCGAATCTTCTTTTGCATCCTCCTGGCTGCCCTGAGATCGTGAATTGATTTTGTACGCCGATACCGACGCTCCGCCCGGCGTCGCAGTGCTCGGAGTCGCTCCAACTCTATATCAAAGTCGTTTCGTGTGGAAGATATTGTCACCGTGCGAGTGGCGTTTTGCATTGTGCTCTTAATTGTTTCCTCTAACCCAGATCGTAGGCCATCGCTACAAGCATCTTCCATGTCAGATTTGAAGTTGGTCCATTGGACTGCTCGAATGGTCGTCCGTGGACCCTAACTAGACAAGCCTTTGATGTTAAGGTAGATTGGAATGTGATCACTTCCTCGTGTCTCAACATCTGGAAACCACTTGACGTATCTCGCGAGGGAGTTAGAGGCAAAGGCAAAGTCGAGACAACTGCCATATGTCACTCCTCGAAGAAAAGTGGGGCTGCCGTCGTTCAGGAGAGTAAGGCCATAGTTGTAGGCGATGTTTGCTAACCTGCGTCCTCTTGCATTTGTCCGCGTACTTCCCCATGCGTGATTGTGCGCATTGAAGTCACCTATGAGGACCCATGGTGCAGGACACACTCTCAAAATATCCGCTAATCTCCTGGAATCGAGATTACTTGACGGTGATATATAAACGCCTATGAGAGTAAACATGAGTTGGTTCTTTTTCACAGTGATGCAGACATACTGATTGTCATCGTGAGGTGCAATTGGTTGCACAACATACGTCAGTTCACGACGAACAAAGACGATGATTTTGCTGCACGCACCATTCGTTGAAGACATGACAGCTTCGTACCCCGTTAGTCTTATTGGTTTCGACAAATTGGGTTCACAAATGACGATAATTGGAAACACGTTGGTAAACACAAACTGACGAAAATCTGAAAGGCGTTGTTTTAGTCCGCTGGTGTTCCATTAGATGACGGATGCAGCCTTGACTTCTTTAAGAAATGTTGAGGTGTGAGTAGCCATCTTCCTAGTTGAGAGATTCAAGCACTGGGCTTAGGGCGTCCAATAGTCCAAGTGCGCTTCGAGCAGATGGTGTCTTCATGTCGACTAATATCGCTCGGATGACTTCTATAAGGGAACGCAACACCGAGATCACTTGACGATCAGTTTTAGGCAAATCTTCCATGGTTGGAGACGGCTCTTGTGTGGCCACAACCTGCAGAGGTTCCTTGGCAGAAGAGCGCGTCGGGAGCGTGGGCCATTCCTCCAGAGAAGGAGGCTTCTCTGTTTCTTTCGTAGAAGTGGTGGGCCCTTTCGCGGCGCTACTGGATGGAACCGCTACAGAGTGGGAAGGAGCGTCTCGGGAATGTGCCTTCTTTGAAGACTTTCGATGATGCCGACGTCGACGCCGACGCCGGACTACTTCGGCTGCCTCCCTGTGTGTTGAGTTGTCTCGGGCCATTTGTCTGAGAACCGCGCGCTCCTTTTGGATTCGAGGACAGTCTTTCGACGAGGCAGCATGAGGACCACTGCAGTTGGCGCACTTTAGAGTAGTCGCCCGACAGGCGTCTTCAGCATGAGATTCAGCGCAGCGGGGACACAGTCGTAAGTTGGGGCATACGCCCTTGACGTGTCCTAGCCTGAAGCACTGATGACATTGAAGTGGCTTTTGGATGAATGGTCGAACCGGATGTCGAAAATGTCCAACTTTAACGTGGGACGGTATGCAATCTCCCTTGAAAAACACTTTTACGCAGCGCGTATTTCCAAGGCGCCGCACTTGCGTAATGACAGTTCCCTCATTTGCAGCCTTGATGAGGGTAGACAAGTCAGCATTAGGAATGGCAGTGTCGATGTCATAAATTACACCGGCAATCGATTTGTCATCCATCGGGATAAAGGGGCGCATTTTAATGCCACCTAGCTCAGTCATTTGCTGCAGCTGTCCTAGCGCACTCACATCGTGCACGTCTATGGCGAGAATGTTCTTCCTTGGGTTTACTCGTACGTCCTTAATTTGATGTGGCACCGCACATTCAAAAGCAACCGAAAGGGCTTGCCTGTTCAGGAGCCGTAGGTTGCTTGATGGATCTTCGGGCATGAAGATTATGACGTGCGGCCAGCGCGCAGGCCTTGAATGCACAGTCGCTGTGCTTGCAGGAGCTGATGCTGCTGTATTCGCCGTCCTTCTCTTTGCCCTCTTACCCCGGACAGGTATAAAGCTGCCATCGGATGTGTCGTCTTCCGACATAGAATAGAGATCGGTGTCCTCGGTGTCACTGGGAGAGCCAGCTCGCTTCCTTGTGGCTGACGGGTGTGAGGACCTGTGACCAGGCGGGCCTCTGCCATGCTCCATGTCCATCACCGCAAGACGGAGAGTCGAGGCACCTCAAAAGACCGGTGATTTCACTAAAATGAAACACAGCGCTGAAACAAGCGTTCTTCTAAAGAGACACTTCTTCTTCCTCCTTTAAATAAAATCCTGTACATTTAAGATAATAAATGGGCCTGCCGGGTGAGACTAATACTTCAGATTTACAGCAGCACTCGCATTGCTGGCTCACTTCACAAGCACATTTATGACAAGCTCGCTCACCCTCACGTTATCGCTCTCTCTCTCTCTTTCTCTCTCGCACATACACAGAAAACTTAAAGGGACCCTCCAATAGTTTTGGCAATTTTGTACAAACACATTGGACCAATAGACGAAGTCCCTGGGGTTATCTAGAGACTAATTTTAGCTCTCTGCGTAAACTGTATAAGTTATTACAACGCTTTAAAGCTGCGAAGGGTAGTAGATTGGTGCAGATTGTTGCAACTCGGCCAAACGTATTTTCAACCGCCCATTCACAGAGCGAAATGTTCTTGCCGCTTGGCGGCTCTAGAGCACGTAAGCGGCCATTGCTGCTAATCTGACTGGCTGTGATGCGCTGTAGAATGCGCAAGATCGGCTGGTAGGGTGGCGGCGCCCCTCGGAGCAGATATGAAGCACTCCATGATCTTCGCCTTTTTAGCCAGACGGCATGCGTACTGCCGGACGCACTACGTGATGAACTCCGAGACGGCGCGCAACCTGTCGGCATGTGGTCTCGGAGGTCTAGACTGGTAAAAGCTCAAAACGATGAGTGCACTCGTGAGAACTCTGCGATCGTTAGCGATGGCAGCATGCCTCATGAGTTAAGGAGGCCAGGCAGAGGTGAAAAGGAGGGTATGATATAAATTTCCGTAGCGGGCTTGGTACACGGCATGTCACTAAATTTTTATTGCGAATACTTTGACGATGCTTTAGGTTTAGCCTAAACACTGAGAAATGTTCAAAAACAAGAAAATATTTGTCAAGATCCTCTTAAATGCTAGTGGTTTTCGCTGGAAAGGGTCATTCGCCACACTTCAAGTTTGTGATGTGTTCAGAAGTCTCGTAAATCTATATTGCTCACGTTCAACATTTCCAGGGTCACACGGTCACAGAAGAATTTATGCACTGACCTTCCAAGTAACACGAAGGCTGGTTGCGTTGAGTGGAATGACCTTCAAGTCGACGGGCTTCGCTGATGGTGCTGAAGGAAAGAGAACGAAGAAGCAATGGTGGCTCATCATGTCGGTTCGGTAAAGAGCACGGCTTCCTTTTTATGCTTGTGCCAAGAAAAATTCAGACCTAATGAAAAAAAAGTACTACACAAAATATAAAGTCATACAGCCTCACATTATACAATTAAGACATTGGGAGCAGATGAGACAAAACGAGTGCTGGTAAGACTCGAAACACAACCTTTCTTATTCCATGCATGGCGATAGAAAAACGTCAATATTACCTACAGCATTAAGGGATTGGGATCTAAACTAATTTAGGAATCTCCAGATCATTGCACAAAGCTTAAGTGATAAATTGTACATGTGAAGTTTAGGTGCAACCCCTTCACTTGAACAAGGCACGTTTTACACTTTCTACTTACATGACATTGCCTGAAAAGAAGGAATCCCAAGATAAGTACTGCAGCACACCACAAAAAGCAAGGATAAAAAGATAAAATATAGCTTCTGCTCAAGTACGTTATAATGAGAAAATTGCATTGCTAGTAATGGGACATATTGCAGAAAACGGCCATATTTGGACAGACGAAAGAAAATTGTTTCGATGCAAAACATGAACCACACCACAACAAATAGCCGAGACCTTATGAAAGTAATTTTCATTTTATTTGTAGGAAACCATCGGTTGACATACCTTCTGTGTCGGTGGTGAAAAACAGAGGCTCGCTCGGATTGCCAGTGCCAATACCGTTGACAGCGACTACTTCAACCCTGTAGGCAGAGTTTGGGCTCAGGCTGTCCAGTGTCATTTCCAGCTGTGTTCCAGGAATTGGAATCACGCGCGAAGTGCCATCTTCAAGCCCAAAAGGAAACAGAGAAAATATGCTTATACAGTTTCTAAGGATTAGCTATCAGGTTTATTTTCGTTGCTGCGCGCTTAGCGATTTTCAAGCCACACCCATAATAAGCGTGGTCTCAGAGACGGTTTTTAACATCGTAATACCTAAATACGTTGGAGGCAATTCGGTAAACTGGGATTTTACTGCTGTTGTGTTCCCTACGTATGAACTTGACCATTTAGTTTAAAGAAACATAGATATCTGTCACGAAGATACGCGAAGAATAGTTGGTAAGCATTCACTGAAGGAGAAGAAACACACAGCTAACATCACTCAGGCTAGTCCACAAATCACCGTAATTTCTCTTCGTAGCAATATTGGTGGTTTACATACATTTGCCCTGAACCGATAGCAAGTAGTTCTCCACGCCGAAGTGGCGCAATAAATCAGACTTTTCCACACAAGATATCCAAATTTTTATTTACATACACAAAAAAGATCTGCCAGAAGCGCTTATAAGAAGATTTCACACTCATATTAGGAGCGCTGTTGCTTCTGGCTGACGGGAGTCACATTATCGAAGCATCAGTTTCGTACTGTATAACTTTTGACTGTTCACTTGTTAAATGACAATAGCTGAACACAACTTAGACCCTGAAATTTATCTTTACCTCTTGAAGAGTGTATCTTGAAGTCGTATTGGGTGATCGGTGAATTTCCATCGAAAGGTACGCTCCAACGTATGGAAACAGAGCGGCTCGCTAGGTGGCTCACGTGAACATTTGTTGGTGGAGAGGGTGCCTCTGAAAAGTGTACAAATTGTCACAGAACTTTCAAAGGGCTTCCTTCTTTTGCCTCTTCGTGACGGTCATTCTACTCTGGTTACGTAAACTTAGTGCAAATATTTGCCCCAAATAAATGGCTCACATTGAATGAGTGTATGTGAACTAAACTAAGTGCAATTTCGTTTGCAGAAGTGTAATATTCGACTAAATAAAAAATGTCTAATAGAAAGGTGCCCCAGCACAATTCTCAGCATTCATTTATTACTGCAAAATTTTGGTCCGTTATTTCTTGTCTCCATTTAAGCCACATTTTCATTGTTATTCAATAATGCAGTGCCTAGAATGTTAAACGAATAGAATGAGGTCAAAAAATGTTACAGAACATTCATTTCATAGTCAAGAAAAAATTATCTTGGAGTCCTGTGCTGCTGCCCCTTTTACTACTTTGCGTTTCGTACCAATGAAGTAGGTAGGGAGACATACAAAAACAAACAACCCTTATATATCAGCTGCACATTTATTTGACTTTTCTATAAATGTAAGCCCATCGGCTGAGTGAATTAGTATCACGTTTGTTAAAGAACGGTTTGTTGACTCTGATACTCTTTCCCAAATAAACGTTATTAGGAATCTCACATTTGACTAACCAATGAGTATGTGCAATGGCCATCCATCTATATAGACATCAGGGCCGTTCAACTAGCTAATACGAGAAGAACTAGATGAACTATGCGATATTTTGTGAAATGTACAGCAACTTGTCGTGCATGATGCACGTGTGCTACACATTTTGCTGAACATTTATTAGTGGCACACGAACAACCAAATCATGGTGTGTTTAAATATTTTAAAATTATTTGCACAGGGCAGTTACTGGTATTACATGTATTCATACCTAGAATACCGAACTAGAGTGAGTATATTCTTCATAGTAACTATCTAGACGACAGAATAAGGAATAGAAGGTTGTCGCATTACCTTGCACTGTTAGCTTGATGAACATTTCGTCCTTGCCATGGCTGTTGGCTACTTTGCATGCATAAGTTCCAGTGTCATTTGTCCTGACATCACGGAGCAATAGCTGAGACGCCATGCCATCCTCCCGTTCATGATCATTCAAGGTGTACCTAGTGGTCGTAAACGAAAATTGGCGAGATAATAATTGCTGAAACAGGTACAATAAACGCCATAAAGTAATACTTTTGAGTTATAATGCAAACTTGACTTAAGGCAATTATGTTCGCAGGCTCAGGATGCACTATTCTGCGAATGCATCTGTAAATCAATCTACTCAAAACAAGTGCGCTCGCGCAACGCACGCAAAATGTTTTAAAAGGTGCGAAAGCTAAATGCTCTTTTTTGTGATTATTCGTACGCGATAATGAAAGTATCAATGTCGTATCGCGAGTCGATTACACCGGTTATGAAGACCCATTGGAAAAGTGTGCCTTCTTGGGTGATTGCTGAGAAAGTTGGCAGAACTTGACGCCGAAATGACATCAAATTGTTTAGGTCATAAGACAAAAGCCAGATATTTTATTCCTGACGGGGAATCCAAGCACACTCAGAGCCTGCAGAAAGAATGAAAACAAAACCTTAGACTACCACACATACAGAAGATACCCAACTACCTTCTCCTTTTTGTTGTTGTTGCATCTTCGCAATACAATGTCTGAAACGACACAGCCAATCAGATGCGTCGAGCTATGTCGAGGGCCTTTATTAACGAAGCAGGAACGTGACCAACGCCATCGCTGGCGAATAAGCGGTGACGTCCGACCGTCGCCACTACGTGGCCGTCGTGGAGGGCAAAAGTGGCCGCGCTAATTACCTCGGGTGTCTGTCCATGTCGAGAAGCACGTTGTCACGGTACCACGTGATGGTGAGTGGAGGGTCGCCGATGGAGTCACACTGCAGGTGCACTTTGTCTCCCTTACGAGACGTCACCGACATAGGAACTGGTGATGAAGGTGGCGGGGACTGGGGTTTAAAGAATGTAGTCAAAAAGATGAAAATTTCTGTTCAATAGACTCACTTATTCAGCGGATATTTTTTTAGTCATGCAATATTGCCGAAAAAATATTTAGCACCTGGCAAGGACGCGTGTGAACATGTAAAGAAACGAGAACTCATGTTCTCCAGAAACTTTAGAAGTTGGTGTGATGCGCTAGAATGTCTTGTTTTGACGTGCCTACTATATAGCATAAGGGAAAAGTTACGCATTTAAATATCGCAGGACGATCTTACCGCTCAGCTAACTTAAATGCAGACTCAGCAGAGTTCTCGGAGTGAACACCATTATGTTAGATGAATTTGATTATGTTTCTAAACATTCAAAAGAATCCTTTCAACCTTTGCAAATAGTAGTTTTTGCAGACGATATGCTGAATGTTCTATGATCAGTACATTTTTTCTTGTATTATGTTGAACAAGTTAAATTAAGTGTTGTGCTTATGAAATTTCTCTTTTTCTGGGCCTCCAGAAATTAAATTTCGTTTGTCATTTTTAATCTATAGATGTATGCTTGTGCCAACAGCACTTTAACTATGATGCTTTTGAAGGAATAAAAGTTAGTACAGTTGAGTTATTGTGTCTTGAGATATACTGTTTGAGCAACTGTATTGTATAAATAAAGTCTTCTTTTGGTGCACTTAGGCTTGGCCGAGCTGCAACAGTGAACATTCTAAGCTTTAAAGTAGAAACAAAATAAGAGCGCAGAACAGGATTTCCACTTAAACAAGTGCATCGAATTTTTTTCTCAGTTACATTTAGGCAAGGTCGAAAAAATGCATGCTTGTTTAGCTGGTACGAACTTGTCCAGACGATTGAGCGGCAGTCGGGCCACTCCTTCCGTTTAATCACATCAGTAACGTCGCGCATTGTTTGAATAACACGCGTGCGAGTAATTGGTGCAAATCGTATATTTGCAATTTCAAAAATCTATAATTTGTGTACACTTCTTATTCTCGCTGACCTAACTAAATAACTAACTAACTAACTAACTAAACTAACAACAAGCCAACAAACAAACGAACAAACAGGTATCACTCTAGCCTTCAGTACTCGTATTCCTTTCACGTATTTCTTGTACGGGGCTCCTTAAACTTCTGCGTGCCTCACCGGAAACGGTTAATTTCGCCTCGTGCGTGAGCTCAGGACCCACTCCATTGGTGGCTTGACAAAGGTAGATGCCTGCGTCGGAAGCATCCACGTGTTGCAGGACGAGCGAGCCGTTTTCCAGCACTTGCAGCTTGGCGTTGCTCCGTATGGTGACAAAACTGCTGGAGACGCCTCCTGTGATATGAGATAACGTGAAATTCCTCACTTCTTCGTAAAGCCAGAACTCACATCGTAGGGAGAGAGGGTGCGATCATGTTTTGTTCTGAAGTTGGCACGCGCGCTGAGTGCCACACTGGCTGAAAGTGTTCCACACAGCGTCTTTGTGCGACGTCTGTCAGTAAATTCTGTTCACGTTTAAAGCAATGAAGCTATTTCTTCTTATGCCAAAAAATATTCAGGAAAGCTCTTCTTCCATTAAGGTAAATGTACGAGTGCCTGATAAAAATGAAATGCCCACCAAAATGAACCTTCCCCTTTCCAGACTGCTTAAACCCTACCCGACAAACATTTATTCTTCTTCATTACCGGGCTAGAATACGATAATCGTGACGCGTTTCACCTACGAAATAGAGTCGAGCACTTTAGAGCAAGCTAGTGTGTAAAACTTAGGTGTCAGGCTCGCTTGAATTCTAATCAATGTTTTACGCCCAGCTATGCGCGAACTTATGCGTCGGCAGTTCAGCACGCCGAGTCTAGGACGCCGACGAGGCGTTATTGTATGCGGCAGCTTGTTTGTGTGGAGTTATGCGGGGTGCCGTGCTTTCCATGTCAGCGTGCCAGAGCACGCTGTACTATAGCAGCGTAGGCAGAGCGATGCAGCTAAGCGAACAGGGCTGCTGTCGCGCAAACGTGCCGTCTCGTTCGCTCGATAAAAGCGGGAGAGAAAGCCTGGTAGGGAGGAAGGAGCGGGAGGAATTGAGGAAGAGACAAAATGCAGACTGGGGCGTCACCCGGGCTGGGCGAGCAGCGTGAGCGAACTCTCTACTTCGCTTTCACGTCCGTGCGTCCCGGCTTGAGCGCCGGCAACTGAGGCTAAGAAAAATACGCTCTAAACGCTAATAAGCGAAAATAAAGAACGGCTCTTCATAGTGGACAGCTGGTGAAATGATGTGAAAGCCTTTAGGCATTTCATTTCGAATAGTTGAGACCAGCGGTCTCCAAGATGTGGTCCACGAGTCAGTTATGTGCAGCCCCCCGGCACGATGTAAGAACGCTTCTCTTCCCCCTCTTGACCTCCTATCAGGAAGCGCGACATCGCATTTTGACCTCTGATGGGAGTTTGAACGCGCTATTTTATGCTTGTAAGTTGTCATCTGGTGACGTGCGTGCAGCAAATAAGCACGATTTCTGTTAATGTTTGTACTGAATTGCCAATGCCCCAATATTGGTTCTCTTTTACGTCACCCCTCGCCTTACCCCCCCCCCCCTCTCTGTGGCCGTCTGGCCCCCACTTAGTCGCTTTCTTGCAGAGTGGCCCACCCTCTGAAATGGTTGCCGAGCACTGGCTCAGGAAGTAGAGCACTCAATTATATACCTCAAAGAACTATCAAATGCTATACGCGTTGTGGGCGAGGATGATAATGTAACAGCTTCTCTAGCCATATACTCTCGTGGTATAAACGCTGATTTGTTTATGTCTTTTCGCGTTGGACAAAAATAACCATAAAGTAAATGTGTTTCTTTGAGTGTTCCGCACGTAATATAGTCTACAACATCTTCTTTTTCTACATCCAAACAAGGCTGCACTGAAGAACGACTGCTCACAAGTGATAACGAAAACTGTTCAAATTTCGCAGCACAATTTAGATGTACTATGCTATTCAGACTAACAATAAATCTCTGCAAATATTAAAAAAGTAACCGGTATGCAGCACGAAAAACTTCCACTATGGTAGCACTTGCTGAGAAGTGGCAACAACATTATGTGCTCTGTGTTTCTTTGAGCAAACTTTTACTCCAACATTCTTTTTCACACCCCCTGCGCAAAACCATCAACAGAAGAAGTATCGAGAAACCTTGAACCACGGTGAATTTTCACCACAGACAATTATTTATGATTTGAAAGACTTCCAAAGCGAACAACTTCTATAAATTTATCACAACTTTCGTGTCAGTGCCTCTTCACTACCCCATCTCTGAGCACGGTCAATTAAGCGTCACTCTTCAGCTTGTGGTTTGTATTTGTATTGAGACGTCGGACAACTATTGAAGTTACATGAAAGAATCTAACACGGAATAGGAATATCTACATTTATGGATGCACACGCAATGTTACCTGTTGACATCTTCCAGCGGATCACTGGCGTTGGGAAGCCATCAGCCTGGCAGTCAAATCGCATGGTGCTTCCTTTCAGGGCGTTGGTGCTAGATGGCGTGTACACCCACTTGGGGGCCACTGTTTAAGAGAAAGTATAGGAAAACGCAACTAGCTCAGTGTATTTCACGGATACCTCTCAAATCCATACGAATTATTACATCAGACAACAGGGGATGCAAAGAGCGCTCAAATTAAGGTGCACCATGAAGGGATCATCTGCTAACAAACTGTGATCGTTTGTCTCTCTTTTTTTGCGTCCAAATATAGGGTTCTTTCAAGCCGTTCTGCCTACATTCCAGCTTCCTTCTTTTAACGTCGTCTTGAAAAGTAGAGCAAGTGTGATGTGCAGCATGAGAAATTCTGATAGGTTCGACCTTTTGGCGATCGGCTCTGTTGCAAGTGGATATCGTAACTCTAAGCCCCTAGTTTGGTATAGTTTGAACTTTTATAAATAGGCAGAGCTGGTTAGCTGCACTCACCTACCGTCGATATTTGTTTGTAAACAACTGCCCTCGGTTGCCAAGCCGAGCAAAGAGCAAAGTATTACCCGGGTCATAAGCGGCGACAGGCACAGTGGGCATATTTTTTTGTTTTAATTTCAAGCTCAAGCTAGTTAAAAAAGATCAAGAAGAGAAGGATAGTACTACGCTGAACCCGTTGTGTACTAAACGGCAAAGATGGCTTGAACAGTGGGGCTCTAGACTCATCGAGTGTTGGCAAGAAATGAGAAACGCCATCGAGCGTGGCGGAAAAAAAAAGTATTTTGAATGACTTCTTCGAAGAAATAGCGCGGGGTCACCTGACGTAAGGCGGAAATGATGCAACATCCATGTACCACTTCATTCATACATTGCAAATAAATTTGACACAAGCATTCATTATCGGGTCATTTGGTTCATCGTAGTGAAATAGCGGAGCGAAACGCACTAAACAAAAAAGTGATATGGACAAGATAAGCGCTCGCTTACAACTAGACTTCACTAGAAAGATTGTAAGAAGGCGGAACGGGCACGCATCTGTCGCCACGCAGTAAGCTCACGTGTTAATTCTCTGGAAAGTTAGTGGCCTAAGACGCAGAGCACGCAAGCATGCATAGAGGCAGACTTGTGAGAGTGTACGCGCATTATTTTAAAAGGTCGGAAACCCGCGGCCGCTTGCATGGACCGCGCCTGGACCAATTTTTTCGCGTGAAAAAGCTGGCTAATTTCCCCGCAGCCAATGAGGCACCGACACGCGCGCGCGCAATACCGCGCAGTGCCGCAAGATGGTAGCACGATCACCATAGATTCATGAATGGCTACGCCTCGGTGGAGAACCGCTGACAAAGGCAACCCGTAGCGAATTCTCATAGCAGATTCATGTTGATGCCACTGGCACCGTGATGCAATATTATTGCTTCCGAGCCGTGGCTGACATCAACGTTACTGGATGAGGACAGTTGGAAAACTCGCGCGAGGAGGCGGCCGCAAATCGTCGCCCATTCCAGGTGTCGCTGGCATCGCTTTGCGACCACGTCACGTGACCTCTCCGCCGCGCAGCCGGCATCGCGCGGAGCAGACGGAGCAGCGACGCGGCTAGCAGGGCCTGCGCTTGCAGACGATTTTTTCCCTGCTGGTAATAATGGTTAAGTAACCTAAATTAAGTAACGTTAAGTAACCTAAATATAAAAAAAAGGCTGGCTCGTTGTTTCGTAACAGACCTTATGCATTAAATTTCAACCATGACAGAGCAGACGATAATGTTTACGCTGTTCTGCTTTCTGGAGAGAAAGCGGACGGTGACTCTGAGCAAGCAATTGTTCGCGGTTGAATTTTGCTCCCTTCGGGAGAACGGTCGGCATGCCGAGGTGTGCTGTGCCAGGCTGTCGAAGTGGATATTCATCGGCAACGTCAAATGAAGTGCCCTTCGTGCAGCGACACTTTTTCAAGCCACCGAAAGACCCCAATGTGCTGAGGGAGTGGAACAATGCGGCAGGCCGTGCAAACTTCGAAGTTACTCAAAGATCATACATATGTGATCGTCACTTTGATGAAGCGGACATTTGCACCTCCTTCCAGCATGTTGTGAATGGCGAAACAGTCTCGATTCCGCGAGGACGCTGGGAACTGAAGAAAGGTGCGGTACCGCGGCATTTTGCTAATTGCGCTGAGCTTGATTTGAAGCTTTGTGTAGAAAATGTTGGCACAAATGCAGCAAGCGTGCTAGTGGCCGAAGATGACATTACCCCAGTTCTTCAGAGTGAAAGTGAGACGTGCACTGAAATGCTTGAACACGAAAACAGGGCTGCCTCAAATGCTGAAAGCATGGAAGTCATCATGAAAGAAAGCTCCACAGGTGAACATTGGTTTGGTGGCATAGAAGACTTGCCCGTGTATGGAGCATGGTGTGTGCAACACACGGATGAGCGTGTTGTTTTTTACAAACTTCAAGAAATTGGTGGCGTAGTTTTTATTGAAAGAGCTGTCGTTATAAACAAAAACTCGACCGTTGTTGTCAGCGCTAAAGGGAAACTTGTGCCGGAATCGTCTTACACCTTTATTAACAGTGACAAGCTCAATTTTACCACCTTGAAAGACGCAGCGCCCTTTCTTCATCTCATTGAGAGCCTGGGTATCTGCAATGGTTTTGATTCTCGTTTATGTCCTTTAATATCAACTTCTAAGACGGCTGAAAGGTCTGGGAGAACATGGAGAAGCAAGCGATGTGCAGTGCTGTCGGCGAAAGCCTTATGCGTTCAGTGCAGGAAAGCAAAAAAGAACTTGCAGTGCAGGCAGAAACGACGTTCAAGAAAGAGCAAGTACGTGCCTTTGCCATCTGCGCTGTTGAGAAATTTAAGAAAGAAGACTATAAGAGCAACAGTGCTGCGGGAGAAATACAAGAGGGACCTGCTAAGCTTGAAAAAAAAGTTGTCATCAGATCCAAGCAATGCACTGTTGAGCGAGGTTTTAGCTGAACTTCCACCACTGCAGCAACTTGCATTTCGGACAGCACTGCAGTCGATGAAAGCGAAATCTTCAAGAGGTGTGCGGTATGACTGTGGGTGGCTGCTGAGTTGCCTTCTCTTGAAGATTTCAAGCCCACGTGTGTACCGCTTGATGTCAAGAATGAAAATCCTCCCTCTTCCAACTTCGACTAGGCTCCGACAAATAATAAGAGGAATGCCTTGTGAGTTTGGCTTTAATAAGCTCTCCCTTTCCAGCATAGGGGCTTTCATGAAGACTATGAAAGGAGTCCAGTGTTACGGCACACTAGTAATAGATGAAATGAAGGTACGCCAAGCCGTAGCTTTCAACCGTCAAACATACAAGATTGATGGGTTCGTAAATTACGGAGACGGTGAAGTTTCAGCAGCTACTGCTGATCATGCATTGGTTGCAATGTTTGTGCCTCTATTCCACTCATGGGTTCAACCGATTGCAAGTTTTGCAACAAAAAACGCAGCCCCCGGACACGTGCTCGCCAAAATAGTTCTTGATGCAATCGTGCAGCTACGCAAACACAACGCCATAGTCGTCGCAGTAATCAGTGATGGCGCCAGCACGAACAAAGCAATGTGGTCCAACTTTGGCATATCAGGAAAGCTTCACACAGCAAACCACAAAGTTCAGCACCCATGCGAGCCAAATCAAAGCCTCTACTTCCTTTGCGATGTACCCCACATTGTCAAATGCATTAGAAACCATCTTCTTCGACACAAATATGGCATGGTAAGTACCACGTACAGTACAATATCGCAATAAATAGTGTCGCGGTGCCAATCAAAATACATTTTCTTCGCAGCACTACATACGACTGACGGACTTTTTTTTTTCCCTCTCTTCTTCTTGCTCATAGATTGGTGAACATCGCATAAACTATGACCACTACCGAGTTTTGCAAGAAGTAGACGGCAAAGAGCAACTCCGCATTGTTCCGAAGCTTACCGCTGAACACGTCTGCCCTGACAACATGAGAAAAATGAGTGTGAAGCTCGCAGTACAGGTAAGATTACGAAAAGCTGCTTTTGAAAGAACTTATAGCTTACCTGATTATTTAGGCAAATTCTTCACATGTGAAACACAAACTTAACTGGTACTGTGAAGTGTTCTCCTTAAGTCTTTTTGCGATTAATAAAATGCCCCTATACGTTTTCTGTCCCCTAGCTGCTCAGCCGAAGTACGGCTATCGGCCTTGATGTGTACCGGAGACTCAAGCAAGATGGCCTGGAAGACTGCGAGGGGACAGCCGCGTTTACCCGCATCATAAATGACCTTTTTGATGCCCTGAACATCAAGCTTCCTCGTTTTGGGATAAGGAGCACATCCAAGGAAATTAAGGCAAGGGCGATAAAATGTGCTACTTTTGAAGAACATTCGCAATAGGTAATGTTAATCAAGAACTGAGGCACTGGGCATATAAATAAAATACAAAACGCCGACAAACATTTACACCAACAAAAGCCTAGTTTAAGTAGACATTTATTTTGTAATTGAAGGAAGGTATTATTGAAAGAAAGACGACGAATAAATGTCTTGGAACTTAGAACTTCTCCTTCCAGATAACTGAAATAAACGTCGATGAGAAGGCGACACGCCGCAAGCGTGATTTCAAGTATTACCAGCTTCCATTTTCATTCAGTGGCACACATGTTTCATTAAAAAATCAGGTTAAAAATAACTTTATGCCTTTCTTCAAAGGTCCCTTTTTTTATAGGCGTCGACGTTTGCATGTAAGAGCTAGCTTGCACAAAAAAGTAATGTCTAACATAAACTTTTCCCTTTTCTAGATCATCCAAGATTTCATGATTATCTTGGACTTGACAGAGAGAAACCACGTTGAGAAAGGAACAGCCATGTTCGCATCTCAAGTAACAATGGAGTCTCTAAGGGTGACTTTGTCATCTATCTTGGAACTAACAAATGACCTCCTTGCTAAAGGTGCACGCTACGTGCTCACAGGCAAGCTTAATCAAGACCCCTTGGAGGTGAGATTAGCATAATTCCATAAAACTGCGCACTTACTTCATTGCATGGAAAATAAACAAAACGGTTATGAGGAAGCATAGCGTGGTTTTAAACAGTCGTCATATCTCTATGTGAGATGTGCAATTCCCGCCTGAGACTTGCACTCTATAAATCCTCTTTATGCATTCCATACGCCATGCGTACTTTGACTTCTGAAAGAGATACATACGGTGAACTGACGTACGGCTTTATTACTACCATTACAGAGGTTCTTCGGAATCACCAGGAGCTTTGGAGGTGACGAAGACCATCCGACGATCCTGAGCTTTTCCCATATCTACAGGTTGCTGAGCCTGTACACACCTGTCAAGGCTTCGATTGCAGGCAATGTCCAAGAGGAGCCAACCTTAATACTAGCCACAGTGCAAGAGACGATGAAGCAAGGGAAGAAGCAGCAGCTGGCAACGTATGAAAAGTTGCGTGAGACAATCAGCGCAAAGATTTCCGAGGTTTGCTTGCCTGGAATAAGTTCAGCATCCCACTCGGGACCGACACCGCTTCCGGACCACGGATATGCTTTGCCAGCAGTACAGGAGTGCGTCGTATATTACCTCTGCGGCTACATTGTACATTCTTTTCTGAAGCACGTCAACTGCGCTGCTTGCATAAGCAGCATCCAGTCAACAAACACTAAATTCCCCGCTTCACTACTGACATTGGCAAGAGAATTCAGGAACGGAAGCCTCAAGCATCCCTCTACAGAACTTTACACAATGTTGAAACGCGTCGAAGAAAAACTGTCTCTCGTGCTAGGAGAAAACCATCTGTGCGCCGACATGTTTTGGGATGCGCTGGATGTCATCAAAGACTGCGATGTTCCAAGCGTTGGTTGTTCAGTTCATAAGGACATCCTGACATCGGAGATTGTACACTCATACGTTGTTTTGAGAATGCACTTTTTTACGAGAGATGTTTGTAAGAAGCTGAGTGCTTCTGGCAGGGTGTCTTCTACAAAAAAGAAAGCCAAACTTCTCTAGACTACGCACCAATAAACTACGCAGTGATTTAACATAGAAATGTTGCCAAGTAAAAAAAAAACAGGAACTTGAACAAATGTGTTTGGTGGCTTTTCTTACAGTTATTGCACAGCAACATGCACAGATCTCAGTGAATTAAGGGCTGTAATGAGGACACGGGAACATCGGAACAGCATTAAATAACCTAGCAGGAGTCCCACGTAGAACACAGCCAGCTTACCGGCGACGCATGTCATTGGTTCGAAATTTGGGTATTCGAGTGTCAAACTAAAATGACGCTGTTCTTTTTAATTCGATTGCATTCCTCCCTTCATGAAGAGGTGACGAAGAGATGAAGGAGCTTCTCCAAGCTCCTTAATTCATATCCACTCGATTGGCATTCCGTGTTCCTAGTCATGCACATTCGATACATTTAATTGTCAATCGGAAAAACAATCTTTACACTTAATAAAACTTCTAGGCGCGTAAAACTTTTTTTTCGCCTTTTGATTTTTTTTTTTTTTTTTTTTTTTTTTTTTTTTTTTTTTTTAAGCAAGTGATCTTATCTTCTTTCTAACATATATATGTGTGTCGTAGTAGTAATAAATCAGTTGAAAGTCTGCGCTCGTCCTCGTCTCTTGTGTTAGTTGTCTGAAGTTTTACGCGCCTAGAAGTTTTATATGGATTACCAACTAGCCCAATCCCACACTTTACTTAAGTACACTTAATAAATAGTTGAATTTGCACAATTTAAAAACTGTATCTACTTACAAACGGTATGCATTTAAAAAATACAAGCCGACTGTTACGAACCATTCTGTTAAAATTTGTTTGTAACTACGTGTTTCTTCTGCAAAAGATTGCTGTGCTGGGAACCAAAAAAAAAAAGTGAGTTGTCTCGTAAGATATACATCATCGTATTATTCTCCCTGACAAGCCACACAGATAACGCACCGCAGCGTAAATGCAGCGGCATTGTATACAATAAAAACATGCGCAAGTTTTCAGAACTCGCGACTGTTTCATTTAGAACGCTTACTGTCGCTTTCAAATAAGAGCATGCTTTTATAGAAAACGCTCAATGTAAGGACTGCACGAGCAATGCGATCTCAAAAAAATTTTCAGGAAATTTCAGTTTATGCTCTCGGAGGCACCTATTCATTAGGCAAGCACAAGCTCATCACATCGAAACACCTGCGGAATGCAGTCAGCACCATCAGCACGTGGCAAAAAGAACCACTCAGACTTCGTTCAGAGCTCCAAGCTGTGTCCACCTTCATCTATGCAGTGGTTGTAGCAGGAAGCTCTCAATATGCATCCGCTAACAAGATTCCTTGAGATATGAAGTGCTCCAAAAACGCTGCGCCGTCCTTCGGAGACGGGGCGCGGAACAGACGACGAGCAGACGACGCACGAAGCTCGTCACATGACCAGGTCGCAAAGCGATCGCAGCGCCCCCGCGTTTTGGGAGACTGTGAGCGGCCACGCCGCTTCCGTGGCGAGCCCATGCAGTTTCCCAACTGGCTCCATCCAGTAACGTTGGCTGACATTGACAGGCCGCGCGGACAGAGCGGGCGCTCTGTGGCTGCGCGCTGCGTCGGTCACGTGGGACGTCATGCCCTGCGAAAGCGTGGGGTGATTCCGAATTGCGGTTAAATCTTCGCCACTGGTGGTGTGGAGAGCTCTGCTACAAAGAGTGGTTCTGGCGGCGGAGCTGACCCGGATCTGGCAATGCTCCCAATAGAACAGGCTCACTCCACACGGTGCAGAAAAAGTGCCACTGGAAGTGCGCCGATTCTTACCATCCGTGAATCTGATCACCAACGCATGCTCACTGCCAGCTCTTTGAAAATCCGGCTGCTCCTTGCGTACGATGCGTTCCATGTGAACGTGCCTAAACGGCTTACCAGATAGCACACTTTATCAGTCGGCGTGACTGACTGCATAGTACAACTGGTTGTTTGCGTACGTGGTAAGCCTCAAAAATTTCCCTCACTGATCTGTCGCTATCTTTTGGTTACCGATTGCAGAAGATTTTTGGAAGCTTCATGCAAGCGCTTTACAGAGCGTTTACACACCACCTTAGTTGTGAAGACGCATGTGCGCTCAATTTGCCTTTTTTTATTACATTCAATAAACTTGAGTTCTAAACGAGCTTGTATTGAATCTACTCAAGGTTTGTTCCTGCACTGTGTGTGGTTTCGCTCAGTTATTTCGCAATAGATTTTATAAACACGACAGTGTTATAAGAATGGCCATGTAGATGATTTTGGTAGTGGTTGTAGTCATGAGGCTGGTGGTGAAGGTGCAAGATGGCCTTGCTCACTCACCTTGCACGACCAGCTGAGCAGAGGCGTTTGTGCGAGCGTACGGGTTGCTGGCAACGCATGTGTAGGAACCGTTGTGCTCTTCGGCGATGCTTTCGAAGTAGAGAACCGAAAGAAACTCGTTCATGAGCTGCGGCTTGACGTCCAGAAGGCCTGGTTGTAGAGGATGGCCATCCTTGAGCCACCACAGCGACACCGGCCGATCGCCCGACGAGACGAAGCAGTGGGCACTCGCTCGTTCACCCTCGCGTACCGAAGAGGGAAACGAGAACGGGGCGATCGTTGGGGGAACTGCAACACCGCATAAAAATAAAAAGAGTGTTGAGGCGACGTTTTGGCAGCGTTCAGGCAACATTGAATATATTTTGATATGACTCGTTTCAAGGAGTCGTGTCATAACTGGAAGGGATAAAGTTGTAGCTACAACGTGGTAATTCCCATTAGCGGAAAACTACACAGACTGCCTTTTTAAACGAATCAGCAATGAAGAACGTAGTCAAGGTGCTATGATGAGTATCGTGGCACAATAAAAAAAAGTAAGCAGAATCCGGTATTTAACATAGCTGATTGTCAAAGTGCGTATGATATATGTTGTTCGTTGGCACGGGAGCCATTTTGGGGCGGAAGAGTGCGATCACGTGATAACGAACGTTAACACTTACGGCCATGCGCACAAGAATACGTACAGAAACTGGTCTCCTCACCTGCGACGTGGAGGTTGACTTGTGCTTCAGCTGTGCGACCGTCGGGACTGGTGGCCGAGCACACGACGACACCATCATCAGTTTTCCGATCGACATCATGGATGGTTAAACGTCCATGGCTATTCATCCGGTATCGCTGGCCATCGACGAGAGTCCGATTCGCTGTAATAATATACAAAGAGAGAAGAAAACGTGTAAAGCAGTCTTTGCTTTTTTCCCGCTTTTGCTTTTCGTTTTACGCATTTGTGAATAAATAAGTAGTACTTATAGCCAAGCGGCTCAGCGGGCCATAGGACCCAGCGAAGGAGCGGAAGGGGGGAGTGGAGTGCGACACAAGAAGAGCTATAACTGAGTGGTACCCCCATTATTCAGCGGAGCACATGGCTGTGCCAACTGTAGAACAACAATGAGCTTGCGGTTAATTTAGCAGAGGCTTTGCTGGAAAAATGCTCTCACGCTTGTCGGCAGCACTTGTTTCGCTAAAGAGACGAAAGGATCTGGCGAGTGGCTCGACCCATGAAAAAGCAAGAGGCGACACCTATCGAACCTTTCTGATCGCCAAGCGGCTGCTGATTATGTTTTATGTCTGCAGTGTAAACCACCTGAGTTAGATCTATGCCGTGGCGGCCATACTTCGATGGAGACCAAGAGCCAGAGGCCCATGTGCTTAGTCTTGTCTATGCACAGTATAAAAAACACGACATGGCCGAAATGTTTGTTATGCAATTCTTATTATTACTATTATTATTACATAAACCACTCTTATTTCATAAAAACCGTACTAGATTTTACGTTCGCACGGGAGAAGATAGGGAAAAAGGGGCTGGGGAGGGGGCGCGGCGCTACCTTCCGATTCTCTGGTCTTTACAATGCGTTCTTTTTGTAAGGAACCCATTGGGAGGATATGAATGGCTGGTACGGGACGTCACGGTCTCAGCTCCTAACTGTTCTGGTATTGCACGAGTGCGACCTTGGTGTGAAAAAAGTTGCGCTTTCATCTCCTACAAAGTGATGATGACTTGTCAGAAGAGCCTCTATTCGTGCAGTGTGGACAAGGCTTTCTGTTTGAATGGCGAAACGCCATTATTTTTAACAACACATTTTAATATATTTCAACCATGTCATTACATACTGAGCAGAGTATATTACCTCCGATTCTCGATTAAATAACAAAAGAACCTACCTCCTGTGTTGATTTGATGACGTTAATGTGACATCGCAAACGTCACGTGTCCCTATGCTGGTAATCCCACCCACCTGGCTTCAGTGACGTCACGCAAGCTTTATAATGGAAGAGGGAAGGTGCTGCTGTAATAAAGCTTTATCTCCCTCCTCCTCTCGCCAGTGAACAATTCTGCAGCCAGCACCCTATTTTTTTATATGTCATGCGCAAAACACCTCCCTTCATCCGAATTTCTAGGCGGGAGAGGAGGGGCACCGCTGGCTCCCTCCCCACGGGCTATACGGACCTGCTTTGCGCACACCTGTAGTTTGCACTCACCGTGTGTTCCTTTGTACCAGGTGAAGGAGGCGAAAGGATGTCCCTTGACGGGGCACGCGAGGCTTAGCGTCTCGCCCGAGAGCACGGTGAGGTTCCGTGGCGGTAGCGGCGTCGGCGGGCCGAGCACGTTCAGCCAGGCCGAGTGAGCGACGCGGCCGGCCTCGTTTTCGGCCTGGCAGGCGTACTCTCCGCCGTGCGTCACGTTGGCCGACGTCAGGTTGACGAAGCTGTGCACCACGTGGTCCTCGGTGACGAAGTCTCCTCGCAGCACGCGCCGCGACGACGGCACGGGCCCGCTGTCCAGAGTCCACGTCACGCGGGGCATCGGATGACCTCGCGCTGCGCACTTGAGCGACACGAAGCTGCCCGGGTACGTGTTTTGCTCGGCGAAGGTCACAGTCAGTTCGGGCTTGGTTACTAGGAAGCAAGAATTGCACACTATGCTATAGCCCTTTATAATTTCTACCGACTGCTGAGAGCTGTTTCAATTACAGTCATCAAATAACGTGTTCGTAATGAAGTTCAGAGAGGTGTTGGCATGGCCGCTACCCTCCTAATCATCGAAGGGGGATGGGAAGACTGCCCGATACTTTTACTGTTGTGTACTCTAGTGGGATGCACGTAATGTATTCATCGTCCTAGTAGGGAGCCAATGGAGAATGGTAGTCACTTTTGCGATGATGCCAATAGAAAGGCGCCAAAATCGAAGGACGCACCTAACGTGCGAAATTTAAATCTGGAGGCGGAATCTTTCTGTAATTCTTGCGTAAACTGGTCAGACAACACGTTAACGCGATTGGTATACATTGCCTAGCTATCGCTCTAATCTGTAATTATGTGACCAATTAAGCGACAAGGTGCAGAAGGATAGCGATGACATCAACAGGTTAATTCTATGACTATTCTTAATCTGCTTGAGCCAAAACAGTAGTAGCAAAGTTTTACATAGAAAAAAATATAAAGCATAGTGTCGAGTAGTTCGTCATTGCTTCTGAGATTTTACTCCTCAAATAGGCGCGAAAGTGCAAGAATGCAGTTAATTGCACTAAGATGTGTTCTGGGTGCTTGAATGATCCTATGAGAAAAAGCCCTTAATTTCAATCAGTCTGGAAAAGCTAGGCTTCTTCAAACAATAACTCTACCACGCACTCGAAAAAAGTGGCGAACGTGTCATGAGAAACGGAAGAGAGCGATCAACGGGTTTCCCAGGTACGCACACGACAAGCGCGGCAACTGCAACGGATGACTTTGTATCTCAGCTTACCATAAGTCATTCGAGGGGGCGTCGACAGGTGACGACACAGTTGTACGGTGTTCTCTGGCACCACTGCCGTGATCGCACAAGGAGCCATATTTCAACCACAAGGCAACTTAGTACTTTATTAGAACATCTCAGGGGCGAAGACAGGGCGTGGCTCACCGGGAACGTGCCCCCCCCCCCCCCCCCAAATTTTTTTTGCCATGGCATAGAGAGCGAAAAATGGCCCCTTCAAGATGGTGCCCCTCCGGAAATCAAAGTGATACCCCCCCCCCCCCCCCAGCCCCAACCTCAAAAAAAAAAAAAATCAGGCTACCGTAAAATGACCCTGACTGACTCAAACGTATCATGACTGTTTGAACTGAGTGCAGGGTTACAGCCATACACGTTTTAGAGGCGAAGCTCCTTACGCCGTGGGTCGTTCGTCCCGTGTCGTCGTAGTCGCCAGTTTCATTGCATTGCATGCCAATAAAAACGGTGTCACAACTAATCTACGGAGTGAATGATGATGAGTGGGACGAAGTGTTCGTCAGTCTATCTATACCTCTGTGCCTCCGTGTGTCTGTCCGTCCATGCGTCCGTCCATGAATCCACCCGTGCGTATATCTCGGGCGGTCTGGCCTCGTACTTGTGAACGATGCTGAGCTTCCCGACGTTGGTGGACGAGGCACTGACGTTTGCCAATTCTCCGTTGGTTCTATGCCCGCGCACTCGTATTACTACGAAAACAGGCCGCGGAGAGCTTCGCCCGACTCGCAATCATTCACCTGGTGGATATGCTGTGATTTTTTTACGGTAATGATAGCAGAGTGCGCCTGATGTTACTTTCAAAGTACTGTTTGTTTCTCACATCTTATCCATGAAAATTCAGAGAATAGAGCTTGGTCGTCATCAGAAGCCCATCATGATTTTCTTTTCTTTGGTATATTTATTGCGAGGCTTGTCTTGTTTTTCGGCTCACTTGCACGGGTGGGGGTGCGCTTCTTTAAACCTTCGCCCTGGAGGTTCACCAAAGCTTATGGTAAGCTAACGTTCACTGGAGAGCCCTGAGCAGGCCTACGCTCTTAGCCCTTCAAATATGAAAGCGATGACAGTAGTGAGTCCATTAGCTGCCAAAGGAGTTATTGTGAAGGCTTTGAAGAGTTTTAGAATGGGGGGTCCTAAGGCTATGGGTCTCCAAGCTGTGTTGGGAAGGCAACTTTTTATTTCGGTGGAGCAGCGGAATTTGAGAGCTGGATAGAACGCAGGCGGTGTAAGGGGAAAGACGGACAAACCTAAGAAAATTAATAACATGCGAGACCCGGGCCAAACTGAGTCGGGGTCCGCGCTTTGTCGGTGTCGCCTCGCTGGTGACGCAACACCTTGGGGACACATGTAATAAAATTATTATACGATCATTTTCGGTCATGGGTCAACGCAATCGCGAAAAACACCCAGATATGTTCTTAGGTTATGCGCATGCGCGCTGGCAACTCGCAAAGTTCTTTTGTTCCCGATTTTCATATTTCGTATATATTGCACGAGTGCCGATCTTCGCAGCTGTTTCGAAGCAAATGAAACAAAGAAAAACTTATTAAATTGATATGTGGGATTTAATCGTCCAAAAACTACCATATGATTATGAGAGACGCCTTAGTGGAGGGCTCCGGAAATAGCGACCACCTGAGGTTCTTTAACGTGCACCCAAATCTGAGCACACGGGCCTACAACATTTCCGCCTCCATCGGAAATGCAGCCGCCGCAGCCGGAATTCGATTTCGCGACCTGCAGGTCAGCAGCCGAGTACCTTAGCCACAAGACCACCGCGGCGGGGCAAGAAAGCTTATTAAACTAGTATGCGCAAACATTAGAGGCAACCACTAAAAACTTCAGAATTCCTTCTGTATAGGTTATATGAACACTATAGACGCAATCTGACTCAGACTTCAATAAATATGGCAGAAAATGTGGTTAAAATTTAGAGTACTATGTACTCTATCATGGGAGAGCATATAGCTGTCCCGTGGGCCTCATACTTAATGAGGCCCAGTCGACTAAGATTATTACCCAAGTTCAGGAGCGCCAGCACATAACTGTGTATTTAGAAAAAGTGGTTAACCATTTAGAGTACTCGGTACTCTGAATACGAGCTCTTACCATTATATGGTCACTGCATCGGATCTTGCCAAGTACTTCTACATGCTGTACAATGCCTGGGTGTGCACACAGAATGAATACTATTTCATTTTCAGTTTCACCATTAACACTTCGTCACGTTCACTTACAGTTAGCCCGTTTTCTGAAAAGAAGTATTCAAGATCCGTAAATTATTACGTTCTGTGAACTCTACTAATAAATCCCCTCTGGCATTTCTAGAGCCGATGCCATATTACTTCACTGAATGGTCTCCACCCTGTCTATGGTTTACTTTTCCATAAAATTTGTCCATTAGAATAGTATACTGTGACTTTATTATAACAATGGGTGTCTCTACGTCATCATTGAACCGTTGAACGAAATGATCAGCATGGTTCGATGTAGGCGCTTAGGTCAGTACTATGTTAATCTTGTACCTTCTAATAAACCTGATTACGACACTTGCTGTCCTCTCACTGATAGTGTTTCTTTATGTTTATAGTGTAGAGAGGGAGAAGATATTCTTATGTAAAATAAACTCGACCCTTAGTTATTCTCTGTCAACTAATCTTCAGGAATACAGAAGTCCTTTTTTTTTTCTTTTCACAACGACTAAACCCTCATGACCTAATTTGGAGACGTGTTTCTGAATTTATAGTTACTTGCACCACGTGTTAAATGTTTCTTTAGTGGTTTCGTGAGGCCCCAAGCATTACAAAAACATGCAAAAAACACTTCTACGAACAAAATAATTTTTCAGAGCTGAAAAGGTTATACAGTTCTCCAGTTCTAATGCTAAAAAATACGCCGACGCGACAACAGTCGGTCACAACATAAGATTAAATTAGGAGCGTGGCTGTTTGGTCCAGTTGGCAGGTCATGACGATGGTTATAGCACAAGCTCATAACAACGGCAAAAAGCGCCCGCCTTTTTGTCCTTTTGTCGTCTTTCTGTGCTTGCGCTATAACAATCGTCTTAAATGTAAAGAGAATCTCTTTCCCATGAAGCCACAATGACCCTATATTGCGTGCCTCTGCGCTACAGAAGAGGTAGTTTTTGAACAATAGCAATAAGTTTCCCACATATGAACATCATCTTGCAATACTGCAATAATATTCAAACCAAATTGACACACCTCCGTCTCAATGCTTCAGTACATCACCTTTCATCGCGAAGGGTGCCATGTTTCCATTTTTATTGGTTCTTCTTAACCATTACATCATTGTGAATAGCCCCTCTTTCACTCTTTCTCAGCGGAGAGCAGTGCACTTAATTTTTCAATCTTTGCTTTTCACTGACAGTGCTTTGAAGAGATAATAAAATTGTGGCGCATACCCATGAGTAAGACGAACGCAGACGCCTGTGCCGACTCCCGCGAGCTGTCGAGCAGGCACTGGTAGATGCCTTCCTGTCCGTCTTTGACCGAGCTCAGCTGTAGCACAGAGGAGCCCAACAAGCGCACCCTGTCCGCAGCCGATGGCTGGACGGGCACCAGGTTGCGGTACCAGTGAAGCTCTCGCGCCAACACGCCAGCGCCGCCACCGGTGGCGTTGCAAGTCAACGTCACGGATGCTCCCAGAGGAACTCGCTGAAATCGGGGCTGCACGCTCACGAGTGGTGAGCCTGCACGGGCCAAGGCAACAAGGGCACGATAATTGGAAAATTATCCGAGAAGGTTTTTAGAAAGTAGTGTATTTCTGACGATATCCGAGTAACGGCGCTAGATAGTCAAGTAGTGCAGACGATAAGGCTACAAGTGGGTTACTAGCTGGTACGTAAAACGGAGCCTATATAATAATAAAGGTGAAGTTTACGTTTTGTTAGATATCGTGGATCTACAATATACAAGTATTCGGAGTGGCATGTGTTACTCCTACAGCTTCGTTGATTGTTACACAAAGCTTTTTGTGTGATAATTCAGTAAGCTCAAGTTCCTTCTAATGAAAACCTATCACCCGCGGAGAAACACTACAATGCAAAAGAAGAACGTTCATTTTTCTCAGTCCTGTGATTATTTGACTGTTCTGCTAACAAAGTACTGGAACAGCTCAATTGTTGCACGTTTGTAAGATCTCCGACGAGAGTCTGAAACATGAGGCCTGAAAGCGCGCCATACTGCGCGTATTGGTGTTGACAATAGGTTGCAATAGTCAGAACCCGGTAGTTATGGCAATGTAGAGTACACTAACCTCTGACGTTAACAGTCACGTAGACTCTGTCCTCGCCGTAGGTGTTGTTCACAAGGCACACGTAGCGACCCGCGTCTTGAACGTGTGCAGGCCCGAGTGACAGGGTGCCTCTAGACGACGACGCATGTCCCTGCTGGTGACTGCCACCTGTGGACGATGATTGAGATCCGCGCGCTGGCGCGCCCAGCAGGGGCCTCATGTCTGCGCCGGACTGGCGAAACCAGTGGTAAGCTGGCAGTGGCATCCCACGTGCCGCGCAGCTGAGCGTCGCTAGCTGGCCTTCTTCAACCGTCACTTCCTTCGTCCAAGAAATCACGCGTGGAGCCTCGGACTTTCGGGGACCTAGGATGAAATATGTAGAACGGCTTGAGGCTTGATTGCATGTGAGCATTTCGACAGAAATCTGTCTAGCTTAGTAAAGGTTTCCTAAGCGGAAATGGCAGCCACAATTTAAAGCGGGAATGATGTTTTGGGACCTATTCGATCTCTTTCTCTGGGGTGACTGTGTTGGTCACGCAAACGTTGCCTTCTCTTGTCCATTCCCTTGAGAAAGGCACCGTGTTTGTCCCGAAACGTCGCGTTTTCTCTAAACTGTTACTAGAGCCATTCCAACTTGGTAAGACTTGATTGCAGTAATTATGCTCTGATAAAAGAACAAGAAAACACCAGACCTGCACGGAACGCGCAGCACAACCACAGCGAAAGCTGGAACAGTGACCTTTCTAGAGCCTCTTTTAGCACTTGGGCATCTAATACAGGCACTCTCGAATGGTACCCACTACATCATGCATCATGATATATTTTGCCTTGCGAGGAAGCGTTCACTATCCCATCAATCGTACTTTTTTCAAAAATTTGTGGTACCCGCTACGATTATGTACGCTTTGTTGATGCCATGGCTGACGACGATGGGAAATTACGCCTGATGCTGTTGTAATGAGTTGGATCATTCAAAAACCCACTGGTGCCGCAATTCGCATTTTCTTACGCCTGGCTGTTACTTGACTGCTCTAATACACTTCATCACACATGTTAAAGTGATTCCTCATCGCAGGGATCCCTGAATAGGTCATCACCGGCGAGGCTTTGTGGTAGAGTACTGGGCAGCCACACCGAAGGTCCGGGTTTCATTGCCATTCTGCTCTTGGTGTATAGTTTTTTTATTTATTCTTTATTTCAATCGATGATTTTTATGGACACTGACGGTGGTGGCGGGCAACTACGGGGCCGAAATCGGCCCTTTTTATGATCCTAAAATAGCTTTCGCCACAAAAAACAAAGAAAAGCTATCTTTGTCAGCCTTTAAACGTGCTATAGAGAAAGAAATCCTCTATATAATAAATAAGTAGGTAAATAACAAATTATGCATATCCAAGGCTCCATTTACATAAGGCCATAACAAGACATGCTTCCCTAAAACAAATAAATACAGCCTATGATGCGATCAACATTCGGCAGTGGCCTTTTGTAGTGTATCCAAGAAGTGTCATTTTCGGCTAATCAGTATTGAGCGCAAGTGATTTGTGCTAGAAAGAATGTTACACGGTCTTTGAATATTGCACGTTTTTCTGTCAGTAGTTACCAGTACAGCTCTAGCAGACACTCCCAGGGTTACACTGGAGACGGAGATGACGCAGAAACTGTGCAGAAAAAGACTGCTGCCAGAGTTCGGTCCATGGCACGCATATTGCGAGTGCGTACCCACCAGCGGCTTGTTGTATTTTATCTATACTAATTAGTTTGACTGTTATCTCATAAGTACTGAACGTGCATCAAAACTACAAATGACACCTCTGTTTTGGCTTGACATCACTGCGTTTGATAAAATAAAAAGAACGGGGTTGTGGTGGCTGTAGTGTTGCAACAGGTTGGGTCTACCAAACAAACAAATAAATAAAAACGCGTACGTAAATCAAAAACAAAACAAGAACAACAACCCTTCATCCTATATATCATGTCTTTTTTGTGGCATCAATCACAATATTTCATAGAGTGTTAGCAGATTTCAAAGAGTTTGCAACCAGTCGTACTCGTACCACTGCGTGGCAACGGTATGCTCTGTTGACAAACACTTAGCGCCTGTGTGTGGCCCGTCTTTCTCAGTCCGTGTTTTTTCATAACCTATAAACTTCAGTGTAGTCACGGAAGGGTTTTCTTCAGGACTGGTGAAGTTCTTTGCCACGTGCCGTAAAACGCCATGCCCGAAGAATTCCCGAAGAACCCGAAGTTATTAAGTACCTACACAGACCCTGTCGTTGGAATCTCATCTATAGGCTCATTATAACACACGTAGGCGTAGAATCACCTACATCTACGCCTTTCATACTTTACCTTTTTAGTGCCGCAATAATGACAGCCCCGCACGACAAGCCGCACAGAAGCGGGATACGCAAGATTCTATAGCATGCCTCCCCGTTGCCTGCATGGGGAGGACCAGAAATACGGGCGTAATTTAATTACGGACAGCATAGCAGTGGGGCTATTCGCGACAGCGCGGAAAACTTCTTGCAAAACTAATTAACGAGCGCACTGCTGTGTGTCGATTCCGGTATAAACGCCCATTCTCGTAAACAATAAAAAAAATCAAGTGCCAGGATGCCCCTATGCATCAAGAGCAGGAAAGCGCAGTTATTGTCGTCAAGCGAAAGGGCGTAAAGAAATTCGGCACAATACATGTATTGGAAGGATGTATGTTTATAGAGCAGTGCACGAGATGATTAAGGGGAGAACCTTTTGCGGCGTTGAACGCGGTTCCAGCTCATTGGGAAGACCCTTACAGGCGCATGCGCTAATTACGAGAAAATTTCGTATTCTTCGATAATCCGATAATACCCCAGTGCCCCCTTCCTCACTCGACGGCACAGTTTGCGCTTGACCCATCAGGCAGTGCCCCAGACGTATATTTGTCGCCGAAATTACCCATCGTTATCTCCTTGTTACAAAGAGTGGGGCGCGGAAGCGTAATATAAGGTCAAGGAAGTTGTGCGTGCACGGACTAATCATGTATTAGTAGTCCCATTAATTGTACAAAAGAAAAAAAAGTGCGGTTCGTAGGATAAATTTGAAATAGGGAGACGTCTCGTGTTAGCTGTAATCATACACATGGACTCGTCCCGCAAACAGAAGCAATATGGGAAGGACTAAGCTGTATGGAAGACAGCAGAGATGAAAAGAAAATGGTAAAAAAAATGAGAATGGAGGGAATCAAGAATTGGGAAGAATCCCCTGTAGTTAGCTGCAGGGCGAATCCGATGGGAAGAGGGACGGCGAGTGACTGCGTTTCGCTCGATTGCCTCGGGAAAACGCGACCCGCGATGCGAGCAACAGGAAAGGAGAAAGGAAATAATGAAGAAGGAAATGCTTACAGGAAGCGTCGCAGAAGCGAACCACCATCAAAGGGTCGTAACGCTCGCGCCCCTTTTTCCGCGACACCGGACAGTGAACCGTGAACCGCAGCGTACCCGAGAAAAGTTTCAGGAAGCGCTGGCCGGAAAGGAGACGTGAGAAATGAGGAAAAAGAGGAAGAGAAAGAGGATTGATAAAAAAAAGAAGAGGTGACGAAAGCTGGAGTGCGATGGAACGAGGGTGAATGTCGTCGTTGTCACCCGTGTCATTCGATTCTCCCTCGCATCTGACCACCCACGTTTCGAATCTCCTTTTTTTGTTATTATACCTTTGGCTTAGCTCATCTTCAGCTATAGCGAGCTTCGCACAGGCAGCGGTGTTTTTGGCAGCGGCATCGAGAGAGAGAACAGCGCGATCCGCGTTGAATTCGATGCGATTTCACTGCGGCTGCGGCGTCGAGTTTCAGCGCCGAGAGCAGCGATGGCAGAACAAATGGGGAAGCGAAAAAAAATCAGGAAGAATAGGTCACGTGAGGCAGATGAAGAGAAAGGGAAGAGCGAGAGCGATTTCGATCGTTCGCCAGAATCCACATATACTAGTACAAAGCCAGTGAACGCGGTGTATAACTGAAGGTGGATGCGCGACAGACAGTGATCAGCGTAGTCTTTTTCTCCCCCTTTCCCTTTCACTCGCCTCCACAGCCCGGAAACATTTGCGGCTGAAAGAGCACCGGCGCCCGGCGACTATACAGCCTCCGATCGCTGTCCTCCGGCTCAGAAACGCCGTCTCTCTTGGCGCGGTCGAAGAGTCGTTGGCTGGTCGATCGGTGCTGCGACGCGCAACGCCTCCCTCTTCGCTTTCTAACGCCTCTTTTTTGTTACACGTATAAAAAAAATACCTGGGATATACTTTCGGTGTCTTTTGCTCATCGGAACCACGAGGCAGGTCGTACATCAATCGCCGGACCAGGGTGCAATCATGTAGACCGCTCTTTCAATTTCTTCGCCCGCCGCCTATTGTGAAGAAATGCTCGACGATGACGCCATCATCTTCCATGTCGGCGAAAGTTTCCAAGTTTGGAGGTCCTCGGACAAGCATTATTACTGCGGAGCAGAGCCATGTTTTTTTTTTCGAAGAACTTTACCCGCATCGCGTCTCAACAATAGTATCGGTTATGACTGCATTCCTGGAATTAAAATAGGGTGCATTGAAACCGGTCTGAAATTAAATTGCGTTGACGATGGGGTTAACTCAGTGTCAAAAGTTCATAGACCACTAGGCATGATAAAATATTGAATTTTCTAGGTGAGTGCATACGCCCGAACTTCACCGTACAAATGCTTAGCGCAGTTTGGAGCCGGCTGGAGGTCTAACTCAGGCTTGCCTGCCGAAGCAACAAGAGCATTCATCTTTTTCCTAAGGTCCCATGGTCTGTAAACTTCTTAGTTTAACTCTGCGCTTATCTGTGAAGTGATCACCCGGGGCGAACAAATAAAAACGGGACATATATTCACACCAACCTAATAAAATAGCTTAGTCCCTTCAAAGAAAAACGTGTAGGGTTACATTCGTGTTATCACGACCAAAATATGTGTAATAAATATTGATACTCTCGTTCTTATTTAGCTGACAGCTTTTTGAACAGAGAGATTGTCCTGGAGGAAGAATTTACAAAGCCTCTTATTCGAGGACGCTTTTTGCCATAACTAGCCCGACTTTGCTAATCATAGGCCCACAGTCAAGATTAGCTTGAATTTTCTCTTGAAGAACTCAACAAAGTCCGTTTTTTTTTCGTGTCAATACGCGTCTTAATCGACAAAACGAGTGTGGAGCAGTGCGTCGACTTTGTAATCAAAGAATTCTCTTTTTTTTCCCTCCGTACTTCATTTACTATCTCGCTTTCTATTGATTGTGGCTAGCACAATGGTTATGCTTATATTCAAAGCTTAGCAAAAAACAATCTCGTCGCACTAACCAGCAATTCCTAATGATGAGGAGCTAGGTTTTATTATCGGCATTGCGTTAGTGAAGGTACTATTGCACTTAATCAATGAGTTGAATGTCAAAGCAGTCGGCTTGGAGGCTGAGTTTTTTTTTACCAGTATTAAGACCCAAACATATTCCTTACCGGTGCAATTTACCTTATGAACGCGCAACTGGCTGTAAAGATTAAACCCGCTGCACTCTTACCACGCAGTAAAGACCTCCACGTGCACTCACGACGGTCGGAAGCTGATTCGTTGACTGAATAGGTTTCTTATGATTAAGCCAGTTGACAAGCGCCATGCGTGCAAGGTAGAGGTCGGGTGTGCAAGAGCGAAGTGTCGCCACCTCTCATGTCGCTTGCGTCTGCTGAACTGCTTTCACCATGCGTCACAAGGCGTCGTACGTTTATTACCAGTATACGCGCGACTTTCGCGCACTTTCGACTTAGTGAAAGATCACTCACCTTGAAGTATGATTCTGGCAGGCCTCGTGTTTGCTTTCGTAGCGTTCGTGGTGTGGTCCAGTACTTGGCACCGATAGGAGCGCTCGGCGTCTCTTTCGTCTACGTCGTGGATGTAAAGTTCTCCACTCGGGTATAGCGCATACTTCCCTGCGAAATGGTGGCAATAAGATGGTTGCTGTAACAAAGCCCATGCAAGTTAACCACTGAAGAAGATACTAAGCTGCGAGAAATCAGACAGTTTCAAGCTAGGACACGTTATTGCATGTTCAAGTTTGATTCCTCGCATTGCATGCGACAGCTGTAGGTGTACAGGCGGTCACAAAATGAATAGAACGCCGAAGAGGTGGCTGCTCCTCAGTGGCGCGCGCCTGTGAAAAAGTAGTTCCAGGTTGCGTGCATGCGTGGTATTCCTAGTAATCTCGCCTCACCACCCACTGCGTCTAATATGTGTTGCCTTCCTTCAAAAGAACAGAGCTGGGTTGCGCTTCAGCCTCGCAAAGTGCGCTGTGTTGATGCCGCCTCTCAAACGATCTGTACGTGTGTATCCACGTGGTACAGAAAACGGGCGTGTGCATGAGCGTCAGTGAGCATCGGCACGTTTGAAATCGAAATCATTCACTGGAGCATTAGGCGCTGAATGTTACCATCCGCCTTGCCGCTGCCGGCCACATTTACAGTAGAAAGAATCATAAAGCAGCATACTATACCTGTCCATAGTTAAGTGAAGTGTGTGAAAGTTAATTAAGCACAAAGTAACTGCAAGTAATTCGAGAATCCCAAGACTACCTTTGAAAAGTTACAGCAGATTCACGAAGTGAATGATGACGAGTTAGCAAAGCTCTGACGGATTATTAACATTCAGTGCCTAAAAAGATGCAACGATGTAACACGTGTTCGCAGTATACACTAAGTAGTTTATTAATCACAATGTGCACGTGGTGTTGAGATGTCCATATAGATATTATTATGCATAACCACGTCCGTATAGATATCCATATCCATATTGATCTGGATAGCTGTATGTATGTGGATATCTATATCGTGTCATGCCGTTAGACAGGGGACATGTCTCGATCATAACAAGCTTCACCCCTAAAAAAAAAGCAGTGGCTAACAAAACTAAAAAACGGACATCACAGGACACTTTTACGAAAGAGTGTTCAAGTTTAAAATGCACAACGTTACCTATAACAAAGTGCAATTAGGCATTGCGCAGTGGTACAGACCACTCAATATTAAGAATTCTGGATGACACTGGTCATGTCAGGTTCATACTGCTTAGAAATATTGAAAATTCATTAGTTATTCTGCTAATAAAATCTTTTAAATGAGCGGTAATTACTTTGGTACTAAAAGGATTAGCAGGAGTTGAGAGATTCTACTCAATAGAGCGTGAGCATGCCTTAGCCTACAGGCCCTGATTCCACGGACACGTTTTTGGCAGCATAAAGAGGGCAGTAAATTTTTGAACGCAAGCAAACGTTTCTTTAGACACATGAGGGAACGAGGCTTGCTTGCTTGCTGTGGCGATTCAACGCACGAGCAGATAATGGCTGTGTTTTTCCGCTGTTGTCCATGGCCAAGTGTTTTTCCGTGTTGTCCATGGCCATGGCCAAGCGAGCCCTGGCGCCCCCCCCCCTTTTCCTTCCCAAAATTGTCTTGGCACGCAGACTACAATTGACACTCGACAATATACACCTACCTGGAACCTATTTCGAATCAAATTGGTGCCCTCCACTTTATAACCCGAAAACGTTTCTGCCTATGCCCCTTGCGGATGCACTCCGCCGACCAGCGGCGAACTGTCCGATGCTCCCAATCATCTTGAAGACACCTGTCCACTCATACCACGTCATAAAATCCGCTGGTAATAACATTTAGTGAGAGATTACAGCGAAAAACGTAAAGCCATATCGGTATCTCTCTATACAACTATTGCCTAAACCCACGCTTACTATTTCGATGTCCGCTATCCCGCGTTGTAGGGAAACTATATTTAGGTGTTGCGTAAACACTCCTTGTACATATCATTCACTCTTTGTAGCTCGTTGGCGCGGAGCAGGGTATACAGCTGAACGTGCAAAGCCGATTCAGTGTCGCGATCACGTTCTCGGATGGTTAGAGCTTATAATTGTTGCTCCGACATTGAGACAGGGGACATTAAAACAGGCTTCCCCTTTCTTCGGTTGATTTGCCGCGTGAGAAAAATACAGACTACGCTGGCACCGTAAAGAGTTCAATGTTGTAGTTATCACGCCATCATCGCATGTCAAAGCAGTGTGCTGCGCATGGCTTTTCATGATAGCACAGCGTAATTACACGTGAATATGAATGTAAGGACGGCTGCTTGAGCGCTTGGCTGCCAAAGCATAACAAAATAGTTACTTAGTTAAGCTAAGCCTTAGTTGTACAAAGTAGTATATGGTCGTGTTGTGCCAGCAACATTGTAGAAATAATGGGCAGCCTTTTTTCCGAAAGATCAGCCTTATATGAAGATTTTCGAGTGCTGTATTGCAATAAATGAGAGATTAAGGTTACTACCATAGAAAGAGGGCCCTGAGTACGTGACTTCTTGCATAAAGTCAGAAATTTCTTAGAAGTTACATGCACTCTTCTGCACATGTTCACAAAAAGAAACACTTAAATTCAACCTAACTAAGAAGATTACGTACTATAAATATTCATAAAGCGTGGTACCAGCTTCTGTAATAAATGACTTTCAATTATATGGCAAGAGCATCGCTTTCTCTTGAGCTTCCTCTGCAGCTTGTTACAGATTGTTGCACAACATTAGTAGTTTAATTTAGCCATCGCTGTACGGCTTACGGCAAAACGATCAAATGTGCACTCACAACTTCTCTATAAGTGTACATATAAGCGCCACTTACGAAATGGGCTCTGCGTGGCATCACTTCAGTGTTACGTGTGCCACGTCACCGCAATAAATATGTATACTTCAGCCACGTATCTGCGGTACACCCTACAGGCTCAGACATGTGGCGAAATGTCTTCAAAGCTGCATCTCTCAAGGCAATACATCATCTAATGGAGGGACGTCACAAGAAGAGCAGCTGCACTGCCATTTCTCCTCAGCGCAAGCCAGTTTCGTAATAAATGAAGTGGTGTCATCGTGTCGCACTTCCACTCTACGGTCGCATTTCTTAAAAGTCTTCTTTCTCAAAAGCTGCATGCCCTTCGAGGTTGCCCCGACTGGTTGTTTTTCTGTTCTTTTGCGATGCTTAGCTCCTCTATTGTGCAAGGTCACGTCAGCACTTTTGTACACGCGCTAGTAGGCAAGTTAACATCGTCGCTATGCTAAAGATGCTCAACCATCACGCACGCATGGTATATATAGCTGTGCAAGCTTGTATTTTTTATTCCAGTGTGACATGGTTGTACCGGAGGATACTGATACACGTGTTGTAACGCGGTGCAAGCATCAGGTCGATTGAGGAGGACCTTCTCGAATACTTTCAGTCTACACTCCACTAAAATGGCACGCGGAAAGCAAATAGATGAGCGCATTCCGGGAACTACGCAAAAGCACAGCTGGTATGTGCTGTAACTCAAGTCCAAATAACCATCTCAATATATACGCCAATGAGATTTCGATAACTGAGCTGTGTACTTGCCGCAATTGTTGCACTTTGAGTACTTGCAGGGTATATATTTGTCCAAATATTCAAATAACATGCACGAGTGGCAGTTCTCTGTGTGGGCCTTTGCCTTATGGCAAGCACGCACCCACAATGTAATTTTTTGCAACTTCTTTTCATCATATGGCTCTTTCGGACACTAAAGTCGCCACTTCGCACGCTAATTGAACACTTGGGTGGCCCTACAGGTTTACTCAATAATCAGGTAACTGGTTCGGCTGATGCATTTTTGACAGTCAAAGTTACGTGGAGACATCAATTATGGTTATATGCAGCATGGCTCTTTAACTGACTAAGATGCCACAGTTTCGCCGAAATGGGGAAGCATTGCGTGGGTGCTGATAAGTTGCGATTTTATTCGGAGTAGGTCTAGCGACTGACTACTTCAGAATCCGATTTGGCGTAAGTCAACAAAACGCTGATTTAAGGAAGCGTAGCTGATGCAGCAAGCGAAACAACCCTCATGCTGTTTATGGATTCAACGTGAACTGAGAGGTAAGACCACAGCTCGGACGGATATGAGCAGTCCGAAAAATTCCTGTCAAGTAGGCAGTGCGACACCACGCTAGGCTGTTCAAAGAACGCAGTTAAGAAGCAGTAGGAGAAGTATTGTGTGCCATGGTGGGAGTAATATTGTAAAGGTGCTAAGGTATAAGTCATATACATGCGTCGTATTGGTACCACATGAACCAACCGCTATCGAACGCGCACCCTTATTACCTTAAGCTGTGCCCTATACAGATTTTTCGGGGAAGAGATCAATAGCGGCAGTACGTAGGCACGATATTAAGCTGTGTAAGTGTTACCCTCCGCTGCCTGGTCGGCACGCTATTTCGCAATTTGGAGTGTCGGTGACATTTTTTTTCTTTGGCCGAAGATGGATGAACTGACAGACGGGGTTTCGAACCGACTCGCTAACTAATGCAACATGATAAAACAAAACCTCCATTCGTGCTCCAACGTAAGGTCGTTGACGCACGTTCACTTTGGTTACTGCTCACTATTCGTAACTTGTGGTTTTTGTCGGTATACACTTGTTTGTATGTAGCTCGAGCATGCAATATTTTATTAATGTCATCCCGGTGACATCATCGCTATGGTGTTTCATTCATCACATTTCAATAAAAGCTAAACGCAAGAGCCCTCGTTGCTCTGTGCGATTCCAGCGCATAATAATAAAAAAACACACACAAGCCGGTTAAAGTTACACACAGTACACCAGTGTTGTGTGCGTCATACAGACATCATAATATATTTTTTTTCAGGTGAACCTCCGATATTGTACTTGTGGCATTTACGCGCAAACCAATGCAGAACTACAGCGTTCTGATAAATAACGAAAGGATACGTCACCTCCGATCATACAAGTTCCTAGGTGTTATAATTGACTGAGATCTTTCATGGAGCTCACATGTATCATACTTGAAAAGGCGATTGACAGGCATCTGTCATTTGTTCAAGTTCTTCGCTGGAAAAAACTGGGGAATGTCC